CCCCCTACTTTCTATCCCCCACCATCACAAATGCAGGAGTATTTAATAATGAAGTGTTAGGAACAGGAAAAATAGCTGTGTTAAACATACAACTCTTCCTTCAATTTCAGTGTCTCTGAAAATACAAATATTAACAGATTATTAAAGCTTTCTCAAATATTCAGGAAAAACAAAGGTGGACAAGCATCCAACTTAGATCCCGGACTTAACTTTTCTTCATGCTTTGGTCTGCACTGAACCACTATTTCAATTGCTAGCACAAAAAACTGTGCTGGCCACTATTTATGTCAAGTTTGCCAGCAAGGCTGCTAATAGGATAAAAGTTAGAAAGTAACACAGCTAGAAGACATATCTGTGAAGATTTGTATTCTCCACACCTCAAGTGGCACTACAATGCTTCTTAACTTTCGAAAAGAATTTCATCCGTGTAGGCGTTTCTATAAACAGTGTTTTACTTAAATGCATAATGCTAAGATGTTTTATGGTCCAATTTATTTTAAAAACAGAACTGTACCACTGGACATTAATAACACTAAGTAGTGGGAAGCTGCTATGAAGAGCTATTATCTACAGAGAAAACCAGAAGCAAAACACAGCCAGTATTTTTGATGTACACATGATGTAAATCATGATAAGATGTGGAGCTATTCTCAACACCACCTGCCTCAGCTATTTGGATAACATGCATCTGTGCTTATTTGGACAACTGCTGGTATTACACCACCTATAGCTACCTCAGCTACATACCACTAATACTTTATTCAATTATAATACTAATGCAATCACATAAACCTTCTGCCATAAATATTAATTCTGCTGTTCATGTTACAGCTTTTACAGTCATTGCTTTATGAGAAAAATCACAGGTTAATTAGTGGGGAAAACTTTCCCCAGTCTTGGCAGCAACACCTCTCTGGTTTAGGTTTAAGTGTTACCCACTGGATGTCTCACAGTCACCAAGACTAACAAGCTTACTCTGAATCATTTTTCTTAGAGGAAATTGCCAAGTTTGCATCTTAGCTCATTTAATTTGCTAATGAAACCCAATCTCCCCTCAAAAGGGGAAGTATCTTTTTAAAAGCACACAATCATGCTTAGCAGCATGAACATGGTAAAAGCATAACAAAACCCAAACCACTCTAGAACCACTCAAGCCTAGAATATTTTATTTTCAACTTTCACAAACTATTAAGAACTTTTACCTGCACATTACTTTATCAAGGTAGATGCAACAGTGTTGTTAGAACTTCTGGTCTACCACTGCACCAAACACTCTACTGAATGGGCGCTGCATTAACAAAAACCCCACAGCCCCAATTCTTCCACCATCTCCAGATCCCTCATTCATCTCGACCCAAAAACCAGATAGCTCATCTCACACCACTGTCAGCAGTTCTACATTCTCCAGTGTCATTTCATGTGGTGCTTAAACAAGCAAGAGGCACTTTAACACAGAAAATAAGGCAGTTTATAGTACTAGACAAACTAGATCCTATTTCACTTGGATCTGATCATATTGCAGTGTCCAAGGAAGGCAATATGTTTATCTGCTTTATTATAAAATTATGTTCCACTCTACGTTGAAGAGACAAACTCATGCCAAGTTTCCACTATCTAAAGACCTACAGGAAATAAAGCAGAAAAGGCAAAAAAGAGTAAAAAATGCTTCACTGTTTACTAGCACTCTATATTCTCTCATAGAAAAATTAAACCAATATTATTTCAGACATGTTAACAGTTCAAGTTATTCCAGCTCTCAGGCACAAAGGAAATGTCTTATTACAAATCATTGTTCATCTATAGTTTTTCAGCTACTTTCAAAGTTTTCCTGGAATAGTTTAACTGCAATCCATAAGCAATGTGTTAGCAATCGATTTATAAGTAAAATGTGTCGCAGCGCAATTTAGTATCTGCGGTTTCAGGCAATCACTTGAGTGCTTTCACAATGCGTAACAAATGTCATAGTGACATTTTTAATGCTGCCTGAGTATATGTTGAGTACCCAGAAAAAAAGCCACACAAATGAAAGAATTTAAGCAAACAGAATTATAGCTCAATTGACTACAAAACAAAACTTCCTCTACAATGTAAAATACTGGAATTTAAGAATGCTTTTCCGCTGAGCCTGAAAAGTCATTAATTGATTTATGCAAGAATCACTTTCAAGGCTAATCGGAAGTTGTTTGCTAGAGATTTCTAAGACAATCCCATCTAAAGCATCATATTTCAGTGTCCTATAAGCACTTTTTACATTAAAAAGAAGTAAAACCGAAACAAAAATTGGTGAAGACTCAGATTTCTTTTTTTAAATTAGGAGGAAGGGCTAGAACACAAGCTCAGAAGCCTGCAGTTAAAAAGCCCAAGACACTTAGGGAAGCTAAATGCTTCTACTAATGCCATGCAAGAAAAAGCAGAACTTTTATTATTGACTTAAAACAGGCTTTATTGTGAGTCATAACACAAGCTGCCAAATGAAATATAGACATCTTTAAAAATATGAATCAATGAAGCTTCTTCAAACTCAGTGGTTTCCAAACAGCATTATTACATTTATATTTAAGGTTACAAAAAGAACTTGCTCCAGAGAGTTCTGCAGCAGGCTGATGTGCTTTACAGTTAAATCAATTTAACTGAATGTTATGAAAATATGAATATGGAAATGGCAAGCTGAAAAAAATGGAGCTATAGGCAATTCACATGAAGCGCAAGCTGCTCAAAGACACTGCCATGCAGTGTGTCCAAGAAACAAACACAGTAGCCAGAATTTCAGAATTATGCTATTGGGGAAGCAGGAGAAAAAGGTGTTAAGGAAATGTTAATTTTTAGTCTAGTACAATAATTGTCATTAATATCTTATTTATTGGAATCAACACACAAGTTATTAAAATGCAGCACAACCTGCAGCACGGAGTGGTGAGTGCAGCTGGGCTTCACTAGATACTACTGTGTGAAACCCATCAACATGAAAGCACTATCAGTATCAACCATCACTTGCACCCAGGATCCCAAAATGCTCCCTCCAGGAGGCAGAGCTGCTCAAGCACTTCTGCCGCATACTCAGCTTTGAATCCTGTTACACAGCAGCAGCTGAAGAGCAGAGTGTTTTTAAGAAGCATAATGTCCAAGTGGGGTTTAAAATAAAAACTCGACTTTCTAGTCACAGAGATCTAGAGCTCTTAGAGCTTGTTCTGGGGCTCCCTCTTGAGGTTAAATACTACACTATAGTAAGGACTGATATATATTCATAACTGATTCTACTCAAAATGAGTGTATGTCCCTGCAAAAGCAGTGTTACCAAAGGCATCTCTTCAAACCTCCGTACACTACTTTGTAGAGAGCATTAGATGTTTTTGAGTAACAAGTGCTGCAATCTTAAAAAGATGGTGAGAAGACAAGCACATGTTAAGCCCAGGAAGATAAACTGAAGAGACACTTCACTTCCACGCCACTGGTAGCCAGTGCGGGAGCAGCACAGACAGTAAAACCTCTGTTATTGTGAGCCATGAAATGGAACAGTACACACTTTTGATGGGAAACTAACAGTGTTGTCTACTTGTAAAGAAACTGAAACTTCACTAGGTTTATTTAAGGCTGTTAACACATCCTACTCTTTGGGTGACCTTTCAGCTACCCTAAACATTCATCTCCTTGCTAGAGCTACCTTGTTCCACAAAACCCAATGGCATTACTCCACCATCTTTGGTGCCACAAGCTGCTATGTGGGCTGACACCTCTGTTTTTTAATCTGTTGAATCGGTGTTTGCCAAAGCCTGGAAAACTCTTTAAACATGTTCTACTGAAATTTCACTCTCAAAACCAGTATCTTTCCACAGGCTCTAGAGGGCCCCCACATGGAAGAAGCTTTCAACACAGAAATTCCTGAGAAACGGATTTTTCCAAACTCCTGTTGAGAATTTTTTCTTCTCCCACATTAGCTAAAGGTTCAAAATCGGACAGCCAAGAAAGTCTTTGGAAGCAGTGCAAGAGCCAAAAGAACAAGCCTTGCCTATGATGGCCATATTTTACTACTGGTGAGCTCCCAGTCAGCACTTTCCTAGTCCTTGAACAAACATCCATGCTGGCCAGCTAAGCCATCTATGACCACCTCTGCTTCAGTAATGCTGAGATTACCCAAAATCAGTGGGAACAGATTTCTATGAGAATCCATAATTAAGAAAAAATTCTTTTTTTTTCTAGTCATACTTTTCCAGGGGGTCTCTCCTTGCCATTTCTTTAATCAAAGAAACATTGTTAACCCTTTTCCAGCTCAAGCTATGAGGTCTTCCACAGACTACCAGGGATCAAAATCACATCATTTGAAGTCTTACATCCTATGACAAGGCTTGTAGTTTTAGTAAGCTTTTCTGGTTTAGGGAGGAACAGATTTCAACTTGAATGTCGCAGAACAGCAACACACAGTTTATTCAGTTGTTCTTAGTGAATAAAGTAACACTAAAGAAACACAAAAGACTAGAGATGCTAGCTCCTCCCACTGTGTTCCTTGCTGCGCTTGAAACGTGTAAGATATTTGTAATTTCATTAACTTAGCCATTAATTTGATGCATCAATTCTGAAACGGACTTGCTGTTTTCAGATGCCAGGTTACAGCCAGATCATCTTCTCTAAAGGAACAAATTTTCTGATTAACCCTATGCTACAGTCTCTCCCCTCTGCATTCTGTGAAAAAGACAGACAAAAAAGAACCACCAAAAAACCCCATACTATCTAGAATCAGAACTTATTCAATCAGCACCGAAGCTTGTGCAAATTGTGCACAACTCATCAGCTATAACAAGGGCAAGACTAAAAAGAATGACTTGAAACTTGGACCTAGAAAGGGTCTCTCTACTGCTGGAGGGCACTGACCTACAAGTCTGAGCTCCCTACAACCAAAAGACATCACAGTAAGCAACCAAAAATACCAAAGCAGGATGGGAATACATATCATAGCTCACATTATGTCCTAAGTAATACTCTAGAAGTTTAAGATATTTTCTTACTTTTCATGGTGCCTTCTTCCTCTTCGTCTTCTGTGTTTATGACCATTGTACCCAACTGGGATTCCAAGGTGTCATCGTGTTCTATCATTGTGTTGGCTCCATCACTCATTGTGTTGACAGCTCTTATGGTACCAGTTTCATCTCCGCTTGCCCTCACCATGGTACCTGAATCTGTTTCATCTTCTTCCTGTACAAGGATACCGTAAATACATTTTTATTGATGGTGGTAAAGTCCCATGAAGAATGTCTGTATTCAAGGACACTGGCACTTACTAATTCAGAGATTTTTTACAAATACACGTAGAAGTGACATTTTGGTTTATGCACTTAGTTCTCTCCCTGTCATCTCCAAACAAGTAATGAAAAGTCTTCATACTTTTCTGCCAGCATGATAAATGAGAACAGATGAATAATCAGCAGAAGATTCTCAATGCAAGTTGTATCTCATTTCTGACCTGGTGACTTGTCCATAAGAGTAGATTACAGCACTCAGTCATTAATGTTTCTGTTCATGTTGCCTGTTGATGTTCTGCTCATGTTTTAACAGTTGAAATAAAATTGTTACCTCAAGTGGTACAGTTCACTGAGGAGCCATTACTTATTAGACAGCAACCGGTCTAATTCTGGAGTACATATGGCACACTGAAGAAAAACAATCACCCCCTTTTTTAAGGAGCCTGTCTTTAACATTTAGTTAGTTTTAAATGCTAGAAACTTCAGAAGCACTGAAGAAAAAAGGAACTGAATTTGCAAATCTTTAAAAAGGAATTAAATGAATTACCAAAGTCTAGCCATTTTTTTCAGATTAAAATTATTTCTTATCTTGCCATACGTTAACAGGTACTGATATTATAGAAGTTTGAATTATTGATGTCAAGGCTCAAGAGACCGACTCTGTAGGAAAACACAAGCTCCCGAAACGTATTCTGGTAGGACAACTTCCTGACAGATAGTTACGTTAGCCAGAGATTAGTTTCATTAGGTGGTGTGTGCTTTACTAACTATATATTGTGACTAGCATTTCATGAAAAACAAGGTCAAATTTTCTACCATCTGTCTAGTTTCTTGGAAACGTAGACCAGCTATCCAACTACAACAACAGAAGTCACTTCCAAGGTTTACAGTAGAGTTTCTGGGCATCTCACCTTGGATGAGATGCTCGTGTTTTATTATAAGGATGAAGTTCACAGTTCTTTATGTGTGACCATAGGCTTACTGATCTATATTAGTGCTAGAGGGAGAACACGGGTCTTTCACATCAAGCTGTTATGCTCCATCTCAGTGTCACTGAAAGAAAGAAGTACAGCCCCTCCACATTCTGGTGTTCAATGCATTTTATCTGTTCTGTCAAGGCTGTCTATGTAACTTACTTCCCAACCTCAAAACCAATAGCAAGAGGAGGAGAAAACTACACAAGATGTTAATGGAGGAAAAGTAATTTTATGTGGAGATGAGTGGGTGAGAGAAAGTAACTAATTTGTTAGCTACACATCATTTAACAAAGGACTACAGCAGAAATTTCCACAGCACTTGGGAACACTTTTCTGCTAGCAGACATGGAGTAGAGAAGCTTCAGGGAAACACACACACCAACAGAGACCACTCAGCTCCACTACATAGACACATTCTCTGATCAGTGTGACTCCAGATCAGTCAGAAATGAAGAAGTGAAGGTAGAGACAATACTCTCAGAGTCAACATCATGGCAGCGTGACCAATAAAGTTACTTCCACACTGAATAAATAGGCAGTCCTAAACTGGAAAACTAGATGAACAATGTCTTCAGCATAGATACTGCAGACCATGCTATTCAAGTCTAACCTCTGAAAAGGACTGGCATACAATGCCTTTTGTTGCCCATTTCATTTATTCAGGTTGAAGCAGGCAGACTCAAAAAACAGCTTTCAACATGCTTTCCATATTCACATGCTGTAACCACTGAAACAAGGAGCCCGAGCTTCAATTCACAGCAATCCCCTGAACACTTGCCATGCCCTCACCTCAGGTTTCTGTCGGTTGCTCTTGTGCAGTAGAAAGTTTCTATAAGGGGGGTTCTAAAGCACAACAATAGTAAAACAACACAACATACTTATAGTGCATCACAGATGATATTATTATTTTATACTAGGAGAGCAGTCTAAGATCTGAATCTACAATGAAAAATTCTCATTACTGCATAAATAATATAATACAACTGGGAAAATATATAAAATCTTTTGCTACTTTGTAGACCTATACAACCACAGGTCTCAGCTACACTGTAAGCTAAACAGTGAACCATACATGCTGGCTATCTGTCCTGGTTTCAGCTGGGATAGAGTTAATTTTCTTTGCAGTAGCTGGTGTAGTGCTGTGTTTTGGATTTAGGATGAGAATAACATTGATAACACACTGATGTTTTAAGTGTTGCTAAGCAGTGTTTACACTAAGCCAAGGACTTCTCAGCTTCTCACACCAACTCGCCAGCAAGGGGGCTGGGGAGCACAAGAAGCTGGGAGGGGACACAGGCAGGACAGCTGACCCAAACGGGCCAAAGAGGTATCCCAGACCATACGACATCATGCTCAGTATATAAACTGGGGGGAAAGCTGGCTGGTGGGCTGCTGCTCGAGAAACAGCTGGGCATCAGTCTGTTGGTGCTGAGCAATTGCATTATGCATCACCTGGTTTGTATATTCTAATTCTTTTGTCATTATTATTTTTCCACTTCTTTTCTGTCCTATTAAACTGTCTTTATCTCAACCCACAAATTTTACCCTTTTTTTCTGATTCTCATCCCCGTCCCACTGAGGGGGGAGGGCAGAGAGTGAGCAAGCAGCTGTGTGGTGTTCAGCTGCCTCTTGTGTTAAACCAGAACACTATCCCACTCAAATATAAAGATTAAGCAGGGACCAAGCATCAGGTTAAGCAGTCAAAGTAGAAAACTTGAACTAAGTCAGATTCACAGGCAACTGGACAAAATATTTCAAAAACAAAAACCAAAGCAGCTAAGCCTTATGAAAGGAACAAGAGTTTGGACATTGTACATTGTTGCTATTAAATACTCACTGAATTTTCTTCATCTTCTTGATCTAGTTCACGCTGTTGCGCCTCTTGACGTTTCAGCTTGATATCCATTGCTTCATTAATCAAGTCTCGCAGAATTGACACTCCTTTGGCACTTTTAACAAAGGGATGCTGAGAAGTATTTTAAAAACAAATAAGCACTGCTTCTGAACCAAGATGTAACAGTAAACCACTGTTACTATGGCCTACCTCCAATCAAAATTAAGGTTTAACTCAATACATTACTAAAATAAAAATCCAACACTTCAGTTTGGCACAGGAGGGAGACCTCCCAGCCTCCAAACAAGATCATGCTCCAAAGGCACTACTGCTGAGACCTAGGGCCCATTCCTCTCCCCCAACTCTCCTTCTTTCTTTAGCAGCTTAGCTGCCAAGAACCAATTACACAGATCATCACCATGCCTAGACCATTCTGAGCAATCATTTTCAATAACTTGGCAGTGATGGTGAGAATTTTGAAGTAAAAAAACCAAACAAATCAACCTCCAAAAGCCAAGCAAACAAAAAAACAGCCCAGAGAAGACAAAGAAAGGAAGTTGAACTGGTTCTTAGAGAAGAACTGAAAAGTTGAAGCTGAGTGTAAGATTTTTAAAATGACATATTAAAAAAGTAAGATCTGTAGTGAACAGGAGCAGCAAGAAATGAAACCAACAGACACGCAGCACTGCCTACCCTAGCAAGCCTTCTCTAGAGCTTACGTTCTTGTAAGAAAAGGCAGACCTGCAGAAGCTGTGTTGCAGTGGCACGCTGCTCCGGGCTCTTAACAAGACACTGTTTTACAAAGTCCGTAAAATTGTCTGACCAGAGCTCTGGTTTCCGGAATGTTGGAGGTGGATTGGTAGGAATCATGAAAATTGCCTGAAAGTGGAAGAATATTCCAGATTTCCAGACAAAGTTTAAAGCTTTCCAACAATAGAATATAAATACACACAAACATACACTGGTACTAAAGCAACAGATATTTCAAGTTTGCTGCTTCTGAAGAGTTTGTGCCAGTATCGTACACAAATCTGCTCAGAGGCATCAAGTAGCAAGAAATCACTTTTCTCATTAGGTGCTTACACTTCTGTCTGAGCCATTATGTGCCCCAAAAGGTAAGAATCTGCTGGTTTTAAGTCTTAAAAATTTGTGCTTGCATCAAAAAAAAAAAAAACCAACAAAAAAACCCCACCAAAACAAAAAACCAAACAAAAGCACTTTGGATAATACAGCTGAAAATATGTTTCTTCACACCCAACACAAAGAGCTTCAGCTATGTCTTAACAGAAGAGGATTGTGATTTTCCTTCCCACACAGATTCTCCTCAAACACTTGCTTTTCATTTGATCAAGAGCACAAAGAACTGACAGAAAACAAATCATTTACTCTAAATTAAAAGCAAGATGACATGTTGATATGTTATTCAGCCAGCTATAATAGCACATCATTTTTATACAGTAATACATTTTAAAAGGCCACAGTCCTTACCCTCATAGGATGAATATCTGCATATGGTGGCTTGCCTTCAGCCATTTCTATTGCAGTGATTCCCAGAGACCAGATGTCTGCAACACAATTATACCCAATTTCTTGAATCACTTCTGGAGCCATCCAGAAGGGGGTCCCTATAACTGTGTTCCGCTTTGCCATGGTGTCCTGAGAAGAAAAGTGGGATACAGACAATGGCAATTCTATTAGCCACAAACACTCATTAATGAATTATCATCCAAATTATCTTCCACTTGCATGCACGCACATTATTAGATTCAGCAAGACTGGGATACAAGGACTGCAAAGAGGAATTGAAATGTGCATACAGAAGTTACAAATATCCTGAAGAAAACAGAAAATGCTATTGCAAACCATTACTTAGATATAGCAGCTTCCACAGAGGAAGCTCTGCTATAATGTGTTGCTATTTTAGTATCTCATTATGTTGACATAAAGCGCAAAACAACAGTTTAGAACAATTTCTCAAAGTCTCCACAAGCACAGCACACTCACATGCAGGTTAAAAAGATAAACTGAAGTGTACACAACCATCTTGGGTTTACTCACTGTAAGTTGCCCTGCCACTCCAAAGTCTGCAAGTTTAGCATGTCCCTCTGTATTTAGCAATATATTTCCAGCTTTGATGTCCCTGTGTATTTTCCTCATAAAATGCAGGTACTCTAGTCCTTTCAGTGTTGACTGCACTATTGTAGCAATTTCCTCTTCTGTGAGCTAAAGGAGAGAAAAGCTACTGTCAAGCCATCAACTGCCAAGATGTAACACTCTTGTGTTTCAGTCCGTTTGTCTGAGATTCTCTAATTGCTATTTAATTGCCTTCACTAAAGTTTGCCATACTAATGGGAAATTAGTTAGAAACTTACAGCATTACGTAGTAGAATTAGAATTACAACCAGCATACATATACACACATACCATATTTCACATACCAAAACTCTTTCTCAACTAGTAATTCTTAGCCTGCAACAACTAAAGTAAGGCAAAGTAGAGTCTGTTATTCAGAATCAGTCTGGGTTTTCAGGAAAGTCAACAACCCAAAATCTGCTCCACCAATTATATTATCCATATAGCTGATTACATTGATCGAATTTTGGTTTTCTCATTTTCAGAGGAGCAAAGGACATTCATCTCAAGTTATGGTCAATGGTTGTGTCAGGCATTGAACACCATGAGAATTATGCCCAAACTACTCAGCTTCCTTGAGCTGCTGGACACCCACATCTCCCATTCATACATTCAAAGGAGAAGGGACGTACAGTTTTATTTCGTAATCGAATAATATCAGACACAGATCCAGCGCCGCAGTATTCCATGACTATCCACAGGTCTGTGTTCTTAAAATAGCTGCCGTAATATTTCACCACATGAGGACTATGAAGTGTGAAAAAAGAAGAAAACAAAGGGTCAGATACCAGTAATCAGCATAACTGAATAAGCAAAATACACTGCAGAGTCCTTAAATAAGTTTTAGAAATTCAGAGCTGAAGTGCCATTAAAAGTCTGACCAAAAGCATTCCAAAACAGTATGAACTTGTACAGGGTTACTGCCATCCTGCCAAGCCTCTTCACCACAGCAGCACTCATCTGACCTGCCAGTAAGTCAGTTCAGGGAACTAAACCATCTGAAAATAAATGCTACAGAAATAAGGAGTGCCTAGCCTTCCATCTGATTTAGCTCCCTGAGTGGGGATTACAAGGTCAGTGCTGTGGCAAGCAAGAAGGCAGGACAAGGGAATGAGAAACAGACCATGGCAGTTCCTGGTAAAGCTGCTGCAGAGCATTTGCAACCAAATGTAAACCCTAAATAAGGTCTAAAGTTTGCTGGAAAATAGCTATCATGTACATTAAGAGGAATGTTCCCCCACTACCACATCCACCTACTTGTTCTACAATTTAGTCCAGGATGTATTTTAGGAATCCAGTATGACCTAAGACTACCTATCACAGTCAGCTATTTGGCTGCCCAAGAAGGAAACCACCTAATAAAGCACATTGGTCAGAATAACCATCTGTCCTCTGGAAAAGGTAAAGCAGAAAACTAATAGAAAGACTGTTCCTGATTTTGTGGGAACAGCACTAAGGAACAAAAGTGCAACCAATCTATTCTCTGCTGAATATTTTCTAATGAAAATCTGTAAAACTAGCAAGTCAGTCACACTGTGCAGTGTCCCTTAAAGCTTGCACAGAAAACATGATGGTCCAGTGATTCACTCCCTCTGCTGTTCATAACTGCAAGGTCTGATTTTAGGCCTTACAACAGTAGTATTTAATTTAAGAAAGAGATACCTAGTAATGCTTTCCAAGCTACACAGTAAGATTTTTCACGAACAAATACTTTTCAAGTCACATTTTGTTATCTGCCATGAATCATCTTCATTTAAAGACAGTGAAAGTGAAGAGCAATGGAGTGACTGTGACCATAGTTTTATACTGCTAATGCAATTTATTTTAAATGGTTTTCCACACCTGAACTCTATTAAAGTAGTGTTTATCAAGGCTAAATTTATAATACCTGAAGAAATTAGTATATTTTAAACTTTCAGCCTAGGACACACTTTAAAATGTCTTCCACACCCATGAGCTCTCCATTAGCTAAGATATTACACCACCTCTTCCCTTAAGAAACATGCAAAGACAACCCAGAGAGCCAACCATCAGTCTGCAGAGCTGCCAGCAAGTTATTCTGGGGATGCACAAATCAGCAGTTTGTGCCACGCTAAAACCTGCACAAGCAGAAAGTGGCAGGGAAGGGCAATTCTGCCACCCAAGCAGATGACAGCACGCAGGTTATGCACATGCAAGAGCAGTCATGCATTAGTGGCTCTCATCCACATGCCCCTTAAAAACAAACAAACAACAAACAAAACACCCTCTTCTAACTGTTTTCTATGTCCAGAACAAAACTTGTTTAGAAGTCACTACCTCTTTGGGCATGGGAGCTGCTGTTGGGGCACACAATCAAGTTACCACTGCTCAACAAGTGATGGCGCATGGGGAGAACTGCAGTAACTGCTCACACGCTTGGCTCTTTGCTGGCAGCGAGTGCACGGTTATTCAACTTAGCTTAATGCTCCTGTCGCAAGCTAAATTTTTGTTGTCTTACCTGTGGTTGGATTAACACTACCCAAATGGCCAGTTAACATGACTCAGTTGATACGAGGTAACTTGATCGTACAAGTCCAGCCTTTTAAAAAACATTTAAGGCAACATCATGGCTTTTATTTGATTAAATGCTAGATCACAGACATTACTTTTCTTTGCATACCGATAACGGGTTTTGCAGTATACATTTACCTGTCACATTGCTGCATGATGGATATTTCCTTTATAATCTCTTGCAGGTCAGATTCCACAGGAACTTGTTTAATTGCAACAACTTGACCAGTTTCTTTATGAATGGCCTTGAACACACTGCCATAGGAGCTATGAAACAAAATACTAAATAAACACTGAATACAGTAACATTTTTAAAATGCAAGTGTTATGGTTTTGATTTTTGCAAGTGCAGCCATCATGTAAAAACTAAACTACTCTCCTGCTAAAAATATTTTGCATTTTAATGTGAATAATCAGTCCACTAGCCTCTAGACACTATAATATAACAAATAAGTCACAGCACACTGAGATGGTCAGAAAGGAGCCAATCATCATTACATTGCCCATAGCTTTGGAATGGCCTATTAAACAAATCCAACAAATACAATTCTCTCTTTCTCCAGCATACAGTACCAGCTGAGCATCAGTAAGAACTACAGCTCTGGTCACAGAGGTTTGCTTGTTCTTGTCAGATATTATCTATCTTATTTCCAGCTTCTTTACTTACAGCAGCCAGGCAGATTTCCAACTCAGTTTTTTCAAATTAACTGCTTAAGGCAAACACGCCACTCACCGAGCGTCCCCATGCTGCTCTGCCTGAGCATGTGGCGCAATGTAACAAAAGTTCATTTCCACCACACGAATCTTCCACAAGAGGTACCAAGGATAAACTACAAAACCTCTCAAGTTCCCAGAGAGCCCTATCAACTCCAGACTGGGATTTTTCAATAATGTTTTAACTCCCTACTGCGGCATCATACACTACTGTTTGTATGATTAGGTATCGTACTCTGTTTGGATTAAGATATCGTTCTGTTGGGAAACAAATTATTTTTTCTGTTACGAACCAAACACTGTCACTATGTTAGCACATACCTTTGCAGTAACAGGTCATGACAAAAGTGAAAAATTGGAGACCACCGAACACATACTCATTACATAGACTTGTTCTTAGAGCAATGCACATTGGGCACATCGGAATAAAACACATACCCTTCTCCAAGCTTCTCCAATACATCAAATACTTCTTCAGGTTGTTTGGTTAAACTGTCTTCATCTAACTTCTTCAGTTGTCTGTAGATGTAAGAGTAGAGAATTTATTACATTTAATTTTACAGCAGTTTGGGCTTTGTTGAAACAGAGTAATAAATAGCACCGCTTATATGTATGCAAGGCTTAGCATGAAGTAAATTGATTATGAAGTGAGTTTATTTCACCTGATCAGGAGACCAAATATTATTAGCATCCAATAGCAAAAGAGGACTGGAAATAACAGAATTTAATCAGGCACACAAATCAACAGTTCCCCTTGGTGGAAACACATCTCCAGATCTAAACGTCAGTGGTCAAATCCCAACACAGCACCGCAGAGTCTTGCAGCTATTGAACACATCTGCTGAAGTTCCATATCTTGTATGACAGGATAAGTACAAAGACCATGCAAAAAGGAACATCATCTTCCCTGATGCCTTAGAGTATATGTGGAATACATTTGTTGGGAGGAAGGAGGCAATACTGATCTCACTTGTACATTTTTAACATCAGAAGTTCAGATCTTGACTTTGTGGGCCTGGACACATACGAGGAAATTTCTTATTGGGGAAAAAAAAATAAAAAAGGAAAGGAAACTGGTATCTGACTCTTTTAGGAGTTCATCCCTCTTAAATGCACTGCTATTAAGAGTCAACTGAAATACTTCCTAGAGAGAAAAAAACATGCTATGTACTGTGATCCTTCACTTTGCCTCACTCCCCCCAGTACACCTTCCAAGGAGATGCCATACACAATGCAACAAAGTCAAATGCATTTGTTTCAGTCTACCTCTACCACACCAGAGTGCAGTTTACCAAGTAATCTGAAATAGCCAAGGCCTACATAAAAAAAAAGTTCTCAAAACAAAGTATTTCACTGTTGGACAAGCAGTATCTAATAGCCCACAAACAAGTTTTTGGTTTTTTTTTGGTTTGTTTTTTTTTTTAGTTTGCATGAAAATTAATCTAAAAACAAACAAACAAAAAACCCACCACGCAAAAAACAGCCAAATAAAAAAAAACTCCAAACTCCCCAAACCAGCTCATACAAGTTTTTGAAACACAGAAACTTATTAGTCTGAGCTTTCAGAGCTTACTGGTCTCACTGCTCAGGGTGAGCAGTGTTTAAAACGAAACGTGCATGGTCGCCTGCAGCTGCAAATTACTAATGAAAGCTCTAACCGCTGCAGTTAAAGATCATGACTGCAGCTACTGGCATGCTAACTTTGATACTAAATATGGAATTTTTTCCCCCAATTTTGTCAGAAACAGGGTGAGAAACCACTCATTGATCCCTGGCTATCATGTTTATGCAGGAGGTGCAGCTCACACATGGAGTACATACAATGGCTTCCTGAAGCAAAGGAAACATCATAAAGAAGCAGACTCAGGAAGTGGTGAAATACTGAAAGTAGTCACTAGCTTCCCTGCAAAGATAAGTGTTAACCAACTGCATGTTACTTGTCCTTGTGAAAATGTGGAGGGAGGAAGGTATGGAAGAGCAAAAGAGGGGAAAAAAAAAAAATAAGCAGCAACCACATAAGTCACTACTTCCAAGGAGCCTGAAGTGTGGTGATGTAAAAGGCAGAGCATTCTTGAAATTGAGGTCTAAATTTCATTTAAAAACACGACAAGCAAATCCCCAAAAACAACTTATCACACACTCAAACACAATAACCAGACAACTACTGTGCTTGCATCAAACTGTCTTATTGCTGCTATAATCCAGAAGCCCAATTACTTTGCACTGCCCAGTTCATCCAGTGCACTCGCTGCTGCCAAAGACACACTCTGCCTTTTTAATGTATGTTTATACAACATGGATATACCAAGAACACAAAACCAATCTCACCTAAATTGTTACTCAGATCTAATCTAAATCACCTTCCGGTTAATCACTAGCATAACCAATTATTGAATTAAAAAAAAAAAGAAAAACAGCCCACAAACTATTTTTACTTTTTTTTTTTTTTTTTTTTTTTACAAATTAGAAGATAGATTGCTGCTTTATTTAACAAGACAAGGCTCTGTCCCTGGGGCCCAGAGCCAGCCGCTTCTTTCGTCGGCTGCCGAGCGCTCCCCGGGGCCCGGCCGCGAACCGCCGGTCGCGTTCTGACCGGCCGACGCTCCCCACAACCCGCCGCGGCCCCCCCGGGCCCCCCGGCCGCTGCAGCCCGCCCCGCGGGGGCCGGTGGCTCACGGCTCCCTGCCGAGCTCGCCCCGAAAGCCCGCGGTGAATCGGGACGTGCCGAGGCGGGGGGCGGCCCCCAAACCTGCGCACAGCTCGCCCCAAAGCGAGCCGAAGGAGCAAGACAGCGGGGGGCTCTGGCACCGCACGGGCTGCACCCCCTCGGTACGGCCGCGCTCACCGGTGCAGGCTCCGGTAGTCCGGTTTAAGCCGTTTTTCCGCCACTGGAGCTCGGCGCTGTCACACCGGCGCTGCCCGGTGCGAAGTGACTAACGTCGCCGGCCCCGGCGCCCCTCCCACCGCCGCCTGCCAGCTCGGGGCAGCGTGCGCCCGGGGAGGCGGAGGGGCCAGAGCTCGGCGCAGCCGGCTGCCCCGCTCCCGCCGGCGCCAGGCCCCGCACCGACACCCCTCAGGCCCGGGGCGCGCCGCCGACGAGAAGACCCCGCACGGGGCAGCCAGACCGCGGCACCCCCGGCCCCCGCACGGAGACACCCCTCAGCCCCGCCACGCTCACCGGCGCGGGTTCCGCAGCTGCACCGTCTCCATGGCGCTGCGGGGCGGCGGTCACTCAGCCGCTCCCTCACTCCTCCATGACAGCCCCGCCGCGCCGCGCCGCCGCTTCCGCCCACCGCCGGAAGCCAGCGGGGAGCGCCTGGGCGGGCGGGAGGGGCGTGGTATCATCGCCTGGCAGCGAGGGGCGTGGCCTCCCTGCACCTCCCGACAGGGAGAGGCGTGGCCTCCCCGCACAGCCTGGCAGCGAAGGGCGTGGTCTCCCCGTCCCTCCAACCATGGAGGGGCGTGGTCTAACCAGGCCACGCCTCCATGCTGTGAGGGGCGTGGCCTCCCTGCCGCTCCCGACTGAGAGGAGCGTGGCCACACGGCAGCGAGGGGTGTGGCCGCCCGGCCGGGCCGGCAGCGCCATGGCCGCCTCGCCCAGCGCGCTGCGGCGGGCCGGTAACGAGGAGTTCCGCCGCGGGCAGTACGGACCGGCCGCCGCGCTCTACACCCGCGCCCTGGCGCTGGTGCAGGCCGCAGGTACGGCGCGTCCTGGGCCGGCCCTGCTGGCTGGCTGGCTGGGTGGGCGGGCGACCCCCGGCTGAACGTCTTTCCCGCTTGTGTCCCGGGTGCAGGGGATGCCGCCGCCGAGGAGCGGAGCGTGCTGCTCGCCAACCGCGCCGCCTGCCACCTCAAGGAGGGCGCCTGCCGCCGCTGCGTCGCCGACTGCACCGAGTGAGCGGCGGGGGGGGGCCCGCTTGCTTTCCCCACCCTCGGGGCAGGGCGGGGGGCGGTGGCAGCCCCGGGGCCGGGCCCTGAGAGGGCTCCGCCGCCCCCCCCCCCCGAGCGGCCCGGGCTCACGGCTTCCTCCCCTCTCGCAGCGCCCTCGACCTGGTCCCTTTCGGGATCAAGCCCCTCCTCCGCCGGGCCGCGGCCTACGAGGCCTTGGAGAGGTACCAGCTGGCCTACGTGGACTACAAGACGGTGCTGCAGGTGGATTGCTCCTTGCAGGTGGCACACGACGGCGTCAACAGGTAACTCTGCCCGGCCCTCTCCGTGGGTGACACCGGCAGGCTTGGGAACACGCCAGCTTCTGCTGACTTCTCGCTTCGGTGACCGCGTCAGGAGCCAGCCGGGTCCCACGCGCGCAAACCAAGCAGCCGAGGCCTCTGGTGCTTCGTGCGAGGGCTGGCCGTGCTCCCTGTGTCTGCTGGCACCTTTAGCTCCTTTCAAGGTGCTGGTTGAGGGCTTGGAACGAATTTCCTGAGACTGGTTCTGCTTTGCTCCATGCCCAGTTTAAAGGAAACGATAAACTACAAGTTGCAGTGCCCTAGCCCTCTCTATGCTGGCTGGGTTTATGGGGTGCTGTAGTCCTTTTCTCTTCTGATAACTGTCTGCTTCACTCCATTGCTTGGCAGACTGAGTGGTGACATGCACATCTCTTGCTCGCCTGAGCACTGACAGTCCCAGCCCTTGTCCTGTGATATTTTTAGCGCTGCTGACACAAAGAAGGTCCTTTCTTTAACGTCCTGTCTGTAAAAGGAACTTAGTTTAGATGCATGTAAAGGAGGGGTTAGTGGAGAGGTGCTGTCCTTGATATGTGATCCAGGTTAAAAAGCGACTCTTCCAGCCCCTGCATGGCCCATCCAGCCACCAGCCGGGGTGACTGCCAGCCATCTCTTCCAGAATGACTAAAGCCTTGCTGGAAAAGGACGGAGTGAACTGGCGCCAGAAGCTCCCGCCCATCCCCACAGTCCCTGTTTCTGCCCAGACAAGGTGGAGTGTTCCTTCTGCCGCAGCCCCCGGGGCAAACGCTCCTCCTGCAACTGCATCGAGGGGACAAGCAGGTGAGAGTGTGCCCTTGGGGTGGGCACAGAGCCCTGTAGCTCAGGAGGTTTGATGAACAAGACAGCTGCCATGCCTGCTTGGCGTGTCTGCAGCTGGGGATGAGAAACCTGGGCCTGGTTCTGCCACAGCCTTTCTGGTTGATTCTGGATCCTTTGATGTCTGGTATGGGGATATTTGCTTTCTGAGAGGCTGTGCTGATCTTGTCAGTTTTATAGTGTTCTGTATTCTTTCACACTGTTTCCAGACCAGGCTGCTGCTGACATGGAGAGAGCTCGAACGCTGAAGGAAGAAGGAAATGAACTTGTAAAGAAAGGAAACCATAAAAAAGCAGTTGAGAAATACAGTGAGAGTTTAAAGCTCAACCAGGAATGTGCAACTTACACCAACAGGTACTACTCAGCTCTTTGCCCAAGTACTTCCTGGCTCTTTATAAAAGCCACCATGGGACTTCTGACAGAGCTGTCTAATGTTTGCTCCCAAACAAGTGAATAAAACAAAAACATCCAAACATGTTCACCCCAAGTGCAGTCTTCCCTGTAGTTTGTATAATGTTCTTTGATCAGGTACTGCAAAAACCCTTGGAGACATTCAGCTTAGTGCTGCTAGGGGATTTCTCCCTTTAGTGTTTGTCTGCCAGGGCTGTGTTATTTTGAGTAGTGTCTGCTGCCCCATGAACCACAAATTGCAGGCTGCTATACTTAAAGACTCAAAGTACTTCCAAGGCAATTGCAGCAAGCAGAGCATATTCTGGACTAGCATAGGTAGGAACTTCTGTCCTCAAAGTGCAGGTTCATAGCTTTAGAGCAGGTAAATCCTTTTTTTTTCAGACTGGAAAACTATCTCTTTTTTTCTTTCATTTTAAGTGAAACAAACTTGAACTCAAAAAGTAAGATGACATAATGTACAAAGATAAAAACTGGTTTTAGAGTCCAGTTTGTGCTGCGCTGGGGTTGGCTGAGATCTGCTACATATGTTGCATCAGTAGATGCTGCTTTCAGCCAGAGGTCTCTAACCAGGTATCTGTATTGCAGAGCTCTCTGTTACCTGACCCTGAAGCAATACAAGGAAGCAGTACAGGACTGCTCGGAAGCTCTGAGGTTGGATTCCAAAAACGTTAAGGCACTCTACAGACGTGCTCAAGCACTTAAAGAACTGAAGGTAAGTCAGGAGTTTTTGAATGGTTTTAGGCTAGGATGAGAAGCCTGTTCACACATGATCAGGGCCAGAGATGCCCTTTAGAACTTGTTTCTGTGCTAGAAAACATCTGTCATCAGATAGCCGAGACCTGTATGGACCGAGGGGGGGAATTTTCTTTCACGTTACTATTTGCTTGTTGGATATCCTGAGTTTCTCAGCATCAGGTCATGTTTCTAGAAAAGCTGAAAGCTGCTACATGTTGTGTTGAGCTTTATTTTTTTGTGTCTGGCAAGAGACTGTGTAGGTAGTACTGGATGACACATTGCATTGGTGTTGGACTCAGAACCTGCTTGAGTTATGAAATTGTCTTCTCGGCCCTAGTTTAAGCATGTTTTAGAACAGCTACATCGATGCCAGTGCTTAAGCAATTATAGAAAGGGAGTCACAGGCTTAGTTGTGCTGGCTTTGCCTCTGTTAGTGGGTAGTCATTCTGCAGCCTTAGACTGCATTTTTAATGTACTAACTTAAAAAATACTCTCCTTCTAGGATTACAAATCAAGTATTGACGATATCAAAAGCTTGTTGAAAACTGAACCAAAGAACACAGCTGCACTGAGATTACTGCAAGAACTGAACAGAGCCTAGGGTAACCAAGCAACAAGGCAAGCTTTGTTTTCCACTGCAGAAGAAAGCTTTTTCCCTTCTGATGTTGTTACAGGGACCAGTCTTAATGCAGGATCGGTACTGAAATCTATCTTCTTCTGCTGCTGAGATACAACAGGTTCTGTACCAGCACAATGAATGTTAAGACACATAATCTGTATCAAACTCTATTATCTGGTTCTAAGATCATTCAAAGTTTTAATGCACCTCCCCAAGAGGCATATAGGTTAACCTCCCTGGTTGAAGTCAACTTGCCTGTAACTATTGGCCTCAGGGATGCTTTCCATGTTGGCTAAGATGCATGTGAAGTGGCTATTCTCTTTCTTCAGAACTAGAGGGTTTTTTTGTTTTTATTCAGGTGACAGTTTTGCTGCATTTGTGCTGCTATTACTTAAATAAGGTTGCTGCAGGAACTGCTGCAGTTGCCCTAGTACCACGTACCATCCTTATAACAGAGAACAGTTACTTGCACAGGGCCAAGCCTGTTCCCTCTTCCACTTGATGCTTGCTGGCCCTCAGCTGAGTTTCTGCTGCTTAGTGTGGTTGGGCAGATGTTTACAGTAGCAGCTTTCTTTTATTTTTAATTATTCTGCACATTTAAGAAAACAGCAGCAACTTAAGCCTGCCTTGTTACACTGTGCACTACTACTTTCAGATTCTAGGTGCTTGGGAATTTTACAGTTGTTTTTTGTGTTGTTTTTTAAAAACCACTTTAGCTCCTCTGTGCCTTTTGGAGCAGTTGCTATGGGGTGTTACAGGGAGGAGGAGATGCAGTAACATCCCAACTGAGGTCTGGCTTTACTACTTCAATGCATGTTTATACTTTGTGATCTTATCTGGTATCAATGGCACTGACTTAAAATAGTAGGTAAAGAGATAGTTGGAGTTATTCTATGAACTGTTAAACCCAGTTCTCATTAAAGCCATGTTTATTTTCACTTTAGAGCTGTGTTTTTTATGTGATGGATGGTATAGGGAACTGGAACACTTTAACCACTTCATACTGTCCCACCCCCACACCTTTTTGTCAGAGGACTTCAAACGCTGCTGTACAGGGCAGTTGCTCTGTCACATAGTGACAATACATCAGGGTTTTCTAACCATTGCTCAGCCTGGGACGCTGGCCAGGGGTAGAGTGCTTCAACTAGTAAGTCAAGATGCTGGACAACACTAGACCTGAGCCAACTTAAAGTACAGACCAGGAGGTAGAAGCTAGCCTGGAAGTCAGGGTTCAAATATCTTTCTTTCCCACCTTCCTTCTCCCAGCAGTCTGTGATTCAGAATTTAGAAAGCAGATAACCCCTTTAATGCCATTAAAGATAAAGACTTCTTACACCTTAGCCTGACATTAATTAGCTTTTTGTAGGTCCCAGGACTATAGTCCATCAGCTGTAATGGGCCAGGCCTTGAAGCAACTCCTCCCTAGGGGCACAAATTTCTCCATTTGCTCCACTCCTGCTTCTAAGCACAGCAGCTCCATTGATCCTGCAACCAGCACTTGCCCAGGCTCTTGGCAAGTAAGTGTGGTGGATTTCAGGGTGGGAAAGCACAGGCCAGCAATGCACAGATAAGCAGAGAAAGGTCACAGAACACAGGAGGAAGACTGGCTTTGCTTAGTTAAGAGCTATCCTTTTAATGGCCTCTAAGCCACAGCACTGACAGTCTCTTCCCCTTCTCAGCAACAGCAGTGTGCTTTTGTACCTTATCTCTAAGGCTTTCCCCAGCACTACCACCTGGTAGACAAAGATCAAGCACAGCAGCAAGATACACTACTTAAGCTCAGGGTCACTTCTGTTCCTGTCTCCCCTTCTGCTCCAGCACTGGTGCTGCTGGCCACGCAGGACATGACCCAGGCATGTGAAGGTAGTGCTGGCCACATGGGCAGCCAGAGCGTGTTTGCAGAGGCGCATACCTTCAGTCACCCCTTTCAAAAGCCACAGCAACTATTCCACACTGGAGACTCCACATCTGCATTGCTGCTCCTGCCTCAGCTTCCCTAAAGCCTCAGACTTCCCCAAGGGGTTCAGCCAGGGAGCTACTCTAAAAACTTCCTAGTATCCTCCAGTATACATGGGGATCCAAGCTCCATCTTCACCTTTTCTGAGAGAGACCCTGGTCCTTGTTCATGTCCTTTCTTAAGCTATTCCGATGTCCCTCTGTTCCTTGACCCCACTCTCTATTCCCTCTAGCTTTACAGCCATCTCCTCCAGCCAAGCCATCTAGCATTGTAGATGGTGTCCCAGGTACATCTGAACTGCCCTGTTACACCTGAAAAAAGGTTGCAGACAAGCTAGACAACAGCAGAATGAAGTTTGCCTGTACAGTTCTGTTCCAGCTCCTTAAATGCATTACACTCACACAAATACACATTTTTGTTCTAGAGACAAAGTGCTCATAAAGGAAGACGTAAAAGCTTCCAACCAGTTACACTTTGGGAGAAATAATATAAAGGACTTTCATTTAAGTTGTTAAGTGGATTGAAGTCCTCTAGAAGCATCTCACTGAGGAGGAGATATCTAAATAGTGCACAGTTCAGGCTGAAGCATCCACAATGAGAAAAAAAAAATATTTAAGGAGGTCAAAGGAAGAATTGGCAAAATAAAGGCAAGAAAAAGGAATGATGACAAGCCCCAAGGCAGAGACCCAGCTGAGCAGAGTAGACAGAATGCAGGAGCAAATGTGTAAGTGATTCTATTAAAATGCTGGAAAGAAAACAAGAGGTAGGAGGGATGACTCAGCAGCAAGTTGAAGCCAGAATATGATACAGCACAGAAGGAAGATTGAGACAGCAACACCAGCACACAAGTTGGACAGAAAGAAGGTAGGTGGTGCTGACGGAGGTGTGCTCCTGGCAGCTCAGGGAAGAAGTCAAGTAAGGTCAATACATCGCCAGTCACAAGTACCAAGGAGCCTCTAGGGACTGGAATTCCTTTCCTAACTAGGAAGAGCAGAGCATTAAGGCCAAGATTATGATAGCAATATGCTCTGGGAGAGGCTGAGAGAGCAGAACACAGCCACCATGGGTCCCAGCTACTCCTGCGAGCAGGGAGCATCCCAGTGGGACATGATGCAGTTAATATTTTCAGGCCCATCACTGACTCCTGGAAACCACTGGTCAGGAACACACAGTGGAAAGGCAGCTTTTGATTTACAGCTGCTCCACAATACCTCAAAAGCTGGGTCTTGTGCACCACAGACATACACAGTGTGCTGACCAGCAGAAGACACTCAGTGCCAGTACTCCTGCAGGTGTGCAAGGTCCATTACAAGAGGAGAACCACAGGAAGATGATGCTTTTTAAAAGGAAGTTAAAACCAGCTAGCTGGAAAGGATAAAATCCAGGTAAATCGTATGAAATTTGCTTAAAGCCATCCTCCTAAAGAGGCAGAAAGGGTCAGGATAACATGTTGTTTGGCAATTCATTTATTTAATCCTATATGTCCCTTCCTGTCAGCTCTCAGGACTACCACTTCACAAGCATCACAAGCTTCAAACACCAATTACAGCAGCCTGACTTAACTTCATCCCTCCACCAACAAAGTATTTTCTATTCTTATGCAGAGGGAACTAACCCATGCTTTTTGGGGTGGAATCATCAGTTCTTTATTAGTGTCAGCTACAGAAACAAATAAAACTACAGAACCAAACAAATTCACTAAAAATGATGATTCATCAGCACTTGTTGCCCATTTCCTGGGCAACTGAACCAGGCTGGGTTCCACACTACATTTCACAAGATGCTTTCAGAAGCAAGAAGAGAATTAACACGGGGATTTTTTACAGGTGCAGGAGCAAGCAATTCTGAAAGGTTTACAATACACACACAAAAAAATAGGATGGAGCATTGAAGACAAGCCAGGGTCACTGTACAGGCATGATTCCAAAAGCACGGTGGGGTTGCTGCTTCTGTTCCTCAAAGGCAATGTTCTCAGGGATCACTCTCAGGCCCAAAGTCTACAAAAAACCCAAAGAACCCACATACGTGTTTTTCAACTGCTAAAGGAACAAATTCACCCAAACCTGCATTAACATACAGTCTCCTTGCACTTGCAAGTCAAGAAAATATTATCTTCAAAGGGGTATTTGAGTGTCTGTTAATGTTAATGGGTCTGTCCCACCTGCGGGACAGCAGAGCCAGCTATCCTGATCAAACCCACACAGGACCACTCATAGGGTTTATTAACATGGTTCTGCAAAAACCACTGTGATATCTCAGAAAAGATCATGCCAGTCCCCACTAGACCTACAGAAAAGCAAGGTCCTTTCCTATCTTCCTTTCTGGTTATACAGTATTGCCCTCGTGAACATAGAAAAAAGCCCACACAGAACCATGTCTCTGCAGTACAATTAAGTCTGGAAAATAGAGGATGCGATTTAAGAAGTGGAACGTTACAGTCAAAGATATTTACGTTGCTCATCAAGCCATATTTGGTCCAGACAAGAAGCCCAACCCTCAGTTTCAGAAACTAGAGACCCTGAGCACACCATGCACACGCCGAGGCACCCACCCGGAGTCACTGCAGGAACGCCGCCTCGCTGCTCTTGTGCGAGCTCTCGGTAGCCTGGTGCGCTTGGAGAACGGCCACCGCTTCCTCGATCTGACAGAGAGCACAAGGAGGGGCAGAAGTTGAATTGCTCCAGCATAGGAGCACACTGCAGAAGAAATGCAATATTCCAGGTCCCGAGATGGCCTCCGCACAGACCCACTCACAAGAGGTAAAGGACTTGAATAATAATACTTATAAAATCCAAGTCTGATGCTTTTGCAGGAGACTGATTAGCCCTAAGACCTCTTCTGTCTCTTCCCTAGGGAAATGCTGGGGCATGTCTCTTTCTATAGCAGTCAGAACTTGCCAGGGAGAAATCAGACTTATCCATGGGTAAAGCTGCCTGATACCACCCAGCAGAGCCCAGGCTCCTTCAAAAAACATCAATGAAAGGGTGAAAGTGAATCCTGTCTCCAAGGAGCAACAAGGGGATGCAATCAATTCACTGCAACTGTCTTGGTGGGAACCAAAGCTAAATATTCACCAGGATTAAGGAGGAAACTGAAGAAATGCTGCAGAGGCAGAACTGATCTGATTTCTATTCTCAGGGAAGGGCATCTCCTCCTCTCCTGGGGAGCAACACCCACCCTGCCTTTCCCCTCTCACTTCCCAGGCACCTCCAAACCACCCTCGGAGCTTGGCCCATGCTTTTAGTGAGCTGCTCTGAGCTTCTCCTTTTGCTAAAGGCAGGCAGGTGCTCCAGCACTGGGTGCGGTGCTATCAACCTGGGGCCCTTTCTGATCACTTTTCACTTAAAAAAAAAAAAAACAAAACAGCTATTTGCTCTTCCCATGGCTATCAACATTCTTAACCCATCTTCTGGGCCACGATCACCTTTCCTTGCAGCAGCAGGTAGTTAGCCCTTTGGGATGCGATTTGTTTGGGCACCAAGTGCTCCCTACCTTGGAGTGCAGGGAGTCAGGGGACTCCAGGAGCAGCAGCAGCTCGGAGTTGTCTATCTCCAGCAGCATCCCAGTGATCTTGCCGGCCAGCGAGGGATGCATCGCGTGGATCAGAGGATAGAGGTGCTCACCTGCTCCAAACACCATGGAGGACATCAGCACTATGCAAGACCTCCAGCATTTTCACACCCAGGACAAGCCCTCCTGCCCTCCCAGTTCCAACCTTTCAGCTGAAAAGGGATACAAGCATGGTGATGGTGGTGGAAAAAAAAAACAAAAAACAAAAAAACAACAACAAAAAAAAACCCAAAACAAAACAAAACAAAAAAACACAAAAAAAAAACCAAACAAACAAACAAAAAAAAAAACCCAAACCTACTCCAGCAAGTCACAACAGTGTTTGCAGGCAGGGAAGCTGCTGGGTGAAGGCAGACAGCAGCAGGACCTGCCGTGGGAGCAGGGCAGTGGAGCAGCGAGCACTGCCCATGCCTGCCCACCAGTGTGCAGGTGAAGGGGCCCGATTCTGCAGGAGCAGTTTCCTCCCAGGGAGGGAAGAGCTGGTCCACGACCCGCTGTGCTTTTGCTGGGCCGAGCCCACGAGGCAGGCAGAGCAGGGCAAGCGATGCCCTCCCATGCCAGCCGCTCCACCAGCGGGACACCAGGCAGCACCTGAAGTCCAAGGACTCTGCGGCAGAGCTGACCCCAGCCCCTACAGCCACTAAACTGTTCATCAGCCCCAGAGCAGCAAGGCAGGATGGCTCAGAGCTCAGGGAGTCGCACATGCCCTGGGGCAGCCTGGCAGCAGGGGCAGGATGGGGCCCTGCCGCTCCTGCAGAGCTTCACCAGAGGCTGTCTCGCTGCCAGGCACCCAATACAGACAGGGAGTGGTTCCGCTGCTTCCATACCCCTCCAACACAGCCTGCTTTTATTTCTTGTTTTAAACGCAGCATAGTATCAGAGCAATCCCATAAAGGCTCAAAGCTGCTCCCAGCAGCTAAATTCTCTCTGGTGCATGCAACTCCACATGCCCTCATACACACAACAGCCCCACAGCCGGACCTACTCCGGCAGAGCAGCCGTGACACCCACCTATCATTTGCTTCTGCTCCTGAGGAGGGGCTGCTGCAAGCATGGATGCTGTCAGTGGTTCCTGCTCCTGGACATGCACAGCAGGTTCTCCCACCTGGAGGGAGATTAAAAAAAAACCAAACAAACGAAAAAAAAAAAAACAACAACCAAAAAAAAAAAAAAACCAAACAAATAAAACAAAAACCAGAAGTGATGTGTGTTACGTGGCTTGCAGGAACGGTGCTGCTCCCTGAACACAGCATGTCATTTCACCCTTCTGAGCTGCTGATGCCGACTGTGGCATTGCCTGTTTGTATCCAAACGCCAGCTTCCAGGAAAGCCGGAGCCAGGCATCACAGCTGCATGGCTACTGGATCCAAAGCCCCAGTTGCCCCAGCAGCCCTAGGAAAGGTCCCCGTTGCACCAGTTACAGAGCCGTGGGGCTGCCTGGGGTCAGCAGTGGCGTTAACCCAGAGCAGGACCAGGGCTGACGCGCGTTGCGGCGGCTGTGCCGAAGCCGGGAGCCCGCGGAGCGGTTACCTGCGAGGCCACCATGGGCAGCATGTGCCCCATGGGCTGTACATTCCTGACGGCCAAGGAGTATTTGTACTGTGGAGCACCCCGTGGCGGGGTGGGCAAGGAGGACACCCGGGTGCTGACTGTCTGCGTCCCGATGTTGGCTGCAGGGGGGACAAGAAAGTTTGGGAAGAGCAGCCTGTTAAATGCATGCCTGTGCCGAGGAGGCTGAACCTACAAGGGCAGCGTGCTCAGAGGGCTTGAAAAATCCCCCCACCGGCTTAAAGCAGCCGCCAGGTCAAAGGCAGCTTCTCCAGGACAGGCAGGGCCCTGCCATCCTCCTCGCTGAACTAGTCTGGTTTTGTGCAGAGAGCAGGAGAACTTGTAAAGTCACCTGAACTTCATTGTCTCTCCTCCAGAAACGCCCATCTGCGTCAGCAGCCAGAGGATGGGGACAGCAGGGAGGAAGGTGGGCTACAACAGCAAGTGCCCCTGTCCCTCAGCTCACCCTGGCTCCACTTCTAGAGGGAAGCAAGGGCAGATAAATGATGGGACAAGGACAAAAGGAAAGGGGACAAGCCAGAGATAGCTCTCCTGATCCCTCCTGCTCGCTTCAGCAATAAGATACTCAATGCCAAAGATGACTGTAGGCTAAATTGCACAAAGCTGGGAGGGGTGTAGGTAGACGCTGCCCTGGGCTGTCCTATGTTTTGGGGGGACATCAGACTTTCACCCACTCACCAGATGGGCAGCTTCCACCCTGCACTACTTAAGCCCCTCCTCAGAGGGGGCCACGCTGCAAGCCCCAGTGAGCATCCTCCTCTGCCTCACTCACATGAAAGGCAGAGGCGTGACGGGACAGACACGGGGCTGAAGCACTATCTCAGAGTGAGGAGTGCTCTGGACACCATGTGCAGGACAGCGGCTTGGTCACCACCCCGCCAGCCCCACAGCAGCACAGCCATGTCACGCTGGCAAGGTGGAGGGGACACCTCGGGACACAGCGACAGCCCTAGCACAGCCAGGCACTGGGGATGCCAGCAAGGTCTGGTTCTCAGGTCACACTTCTAACATGACTGTGTTTCACTGGAGGCTTGGCCTTGGCAGCATTTCAGCCAGAGTCCATAAGAACCTCTGCTTCTGCCCAAGAGGTCCTTTCCCAACCTCCACCTCAGTCTGAGCACTAAGTCTAGGGTGCTGTGGCTTCATCATCATCATCTTTAATGAAAGTATGCAAGGAGCAACGGCATCCAATGAGACTGATCTGCAGATCAGAGACCTATCCCATTACCAGAAAGACCTTCCCCCCAAAGTTACACACTTATTTACTACAGACACTGCTCCAGCCCCACCACATCCGAGACCACCACCCCGACTCCTCCCCAAGCAATCCCACAGACCGATCCCTCTTCGGAGGCAGACCCAAGCTCACAGCAAGCTCCCTCACCAACCCGTGGCCACTACAGCGACGTCTGAGCCGGGTCCTTCCCCCACTCACCCACTCGCTGGGCCTGGGGGGACACGCGGGGCACCTGGGTGGAAGCCTGTCTCATGGTGCTGATGTTGGACAGCAGGCGCCGGGGCGGCACGGCAGCCCTCAGGATGGGGGTAGCTGCAGGATACGCTGCTGTAGAGATGGAGCATGATTAACAAAGCTTCTTGGTAGCAAAGGCACGGAAGGAGAGGTGGAGGGGAGGAGTGACTGCAGCTGGGGAAAGCTGAGGAACACCTCACCTCTGGGGTCAACCCGAATGTCTCATCCCCTGGTGCCCATCACCATGACCCCTGCACCAAACCCCTGTGCACTCCTCCAGGTAACAGCCCCCCGTGGCTACACACTTTGTGCTGCTTTTAGAAACCCTCAGTCCCTAACCAAGCCCAGCTCGTGCCAAAAGCCCCCGGGGAGAGGGAGGCTGACTCACAGGGAGGCCGGGAGGGCTGCGCACTCCAGCGAGTGGCAGGACGGACTGGGAGAACTGGGCTGGGGCTGTAGAAGGTAGCTCTGGTTTGTGGCTGAGAAAGGAAAACACATTATCCAAGGTGACTTGGGAGCCGAGCTGAGTCAGTTCTAACCCAGAGCATCTCAGTTGCTGCCACACACAGACAAGCCAAACCATGCTCTGCTGCCTGCCAGACCAGTTTAAAGACTGACCTCCAGCCCTGCTGCCTGCATGTCCTCCAGCAGCTCCACTTATCTTCTCCTCACAAGCTTTTGTACCTCTGTAACCCTTCGCCCTCCCCTCATTTCATCAGCAGGCTTGTTCTCCATGTTCCTACCCTCTCACCAAACTCCTTAGTTACCTCCTCTGAGGAGAGGTCAGTAGATGCTAAATCACCAGCCCATTTCCTGGAGCACCCACAGCCCACCAGTGTTTTGGCAAGCTCTGCTGTTTACACGGAAGCCCAGTGCTGATCCCACTGGCCCCACTAATCCCACACCAACACGTGCCCAGGTCTGCACAACCCAAGATACGCTCCTCGGCCTGACTGCCACTCCACTCCTCCAGCCCAGGGCAAATTTGGTTCCCCATGCGGTGCTGCCATTCGGGAATGGGGACTCACCTGGGGAAGGGGGGGTAGGAAGTACCCCGGGGCGGGCTGGAAGGAGCCCAGGAGAGGGCCAGGCAGGGCCCTCATGGTGGCTAATCTCTGCATGTACTGGTTGGTGAGGATCGCTTTCCGCTCCTCTTTCCTTTGAGCGAGCGCAACGTAGAGAGGCTTAGTGCTGACGATCCGCCCGTTCATTTCTGTCACGGCCTTGGTAGCCTCTTCTGGGGAGGAAAAACATACAAACCCAAACCCTTTGCTGTGGCCACCCTCTGTCATCACCTAAAATTGGATTAGAACAAGACAGCTAAGTCCACAGATCACTGCAGCACCCGCGAAGCGCAGCATGGCAGGGGGGCACATGGGACCTGCCAGCCACGGGCACCCCATTGCAGCCCCAGCATCCAGGGTGTGGGGCTCCACGGAGAGATTTCTCCAGGGAAGGGGAGGATTTTCTCAGGTAAAACTAGTAGGTTTGGGAAAAGAAGACAGCAGAGTCTGGGCCAGCCTGAGATCTGCAGCCTATGATCTTTCAGGGGGTCTGTGCCCCAGCCCCACAGGAGCCATGGGCCAGCAATGCTCCAGTGCTTAATGCCACAGGGGCCAGCAAGGGCCAGGCAGCATCTGTCCTCGGCAGCTAGCAGGTTACAGGTATCTCACCTTAAAGCCAGACCATCCCCCTGCACCCATATGAACAGCCTTCAAGAGAAGCTTGACACCAGTCTTGGTGGCAAGAGTGACATTTCTATGGTTTTCCAAAAGGCAAAATGCCAGCCAGGCAAACGCTGCTTGCCCCAGACTGAGGTGGCTTGTGCTCATTTCCATTTGTATCAGTGTCACATCGGTCCCAAGCCATGGAGCAGCTGCGCAATATTCAGAACGATGTGGCTTTAAGGTCCCATACCCTGTACCTCACCGGAGCTGGGGTAACTCGGCAAAGCTACAAAATATTTGCTGAATCAATAAGCCTCTCAGGACAGCGTGGGGTACAAGTGGCATGTCCTTCACACCTGGCTTGAGATAAAAGCCATCGCCAGGGAACCACAGCTCAACAGGATGATAATCCCAAACCACTTCCCAGGGCTGAGCGCACCGGCTGGCAGACCCCAGGAGCCCCAGCAACGACACTGGTCCCTCACCTTGGCACTGGTGATGGTGCCATAAGGAGAAAACTCCTTCCTCAGCCTCTCATCATCTATCCCATCATCCAGGTTCTTCACGTACAGGTTGACCCCCTGAAAACAGGCAAAAAAAGCAGCTTGGCCTCCAGGCTCCGAAAGTTTACAGCATCTTTTCAAGCTGGATGTGTTTCACGAGCAGCTGGGCTGGGGGGTGGGACATCCCACAAACATGTCCTCTCCAGAGCTGCCACAGGACTGGTGGTGTGGAGAGGAGCCAGGACCATGTGTGTGCTCCACTCACAGGCGAGACACCCCAAGTGAAGAGGACACCCTGACCATCGCTATGAAGCTGCTCCAAGACCTCAGAAAGCCACCTCATTTCCAAACTTATATTTTATCTTCTGAAAAAGAGCAGACCCGTTCATTTACCTGCCAACATTATCCTGGGTTTAGACTTCTCTCCTCTTTCCTGATACTGCTTCCTGGGACATTACCAGGCAGCAAATGGATCCCTGTGCAGGTCTTTAATTGCAGAAGGGACCCAGCTCACTGCTCTGCTGTGGAGAGCCCTGTGCTATCCCCAAGCCAAGGATGTCCCTGGATGCCGGGGACATGTCCCCAGAGCAGACGTGCAGGACGGAGCACCCCGCTCTCCCCTTACCTGGTACCTGCTCACTCGCTCCTGCTTAATCTGCTCAAATTTCCTCTTCAGCTCGCTCTGGCGCTCCAGCCGCTTCTGGGCCCGGCCCACATACACCATCCGCCCATTGATCTCCTTCCCGTTCATGTCGGCCACCGCCTGCCAGCGGAGGGAAGGGCTTTGAACACGGTGGGAACCCGACAGCCACAGCTCTACTCTTGACCCACCACCCCAGTCCAGCCCCACCACGCGCACAGACCTCCCCGAGCAAGGGCAGGGAAGCAGCTCTGCTCCCCTTCGCCAGGTCCCCCTGCCAGTGCCAGCACCCAGGTGAGCACCAAGCTGGTGGGGTTCCCCCCCGCAGCCCCCGAGGAGAGGTGGGAACATCAGCAGGGGATGAGCTCGGGGCTGAGACAGAAGACGGGCAGCGAGGAGCCTCTTGCCTTCTGGGCTTCTTCGTGCTTCTCGAAGTTGACAAATCCGAAGCCCTTTGAGCGGCCAGAGTTGTCCATCATGACTTTGACACTCAGTGTCTTTCCTGCAAGAGGAAAGTATCCATCTGAAGAAGGGTGCTGCTGGCACACAGCACCGTGCTCGGGAGCCACCACGAGAAGCCCGTCCAGCAAGGAGACCAGACGGCCGTGGCAGCGCAGAAGAGCCAGGGACGGGAGGCTGCATGGGGGTGATTCCTCCCACCCTGGATGCTGCTCTCACTGCTCTCAGCTTTTCGGTTTCTCCAGACAGTGGGCTGAGTTTCTTTGGCCAGAAGTTCTCATTTCCTTTATATATGAACACATATATTGGCTTTTTATGAAGAGTATTCACAAATTACCCGAGATAACACTGGTCAAGCATGGACAGTACAGTCCATGGGTTGGCACAATACTAAACTCGGTCACAAGAGGCATCTTCTATTAATAGACTACACTGAAAAGCCTTTTTTGCCTTAAATTCAGACTCAGCATCTCCTATTCCCAGGGCTCCTATAACCAGACAACGGGATAGTTTCAAGACAATTTCAAAAACTAACAGAAAACCCTTCTATTACCCAAAAGAATAAGTACAAAACCTTCTTTTTTCAGGAGAGCACCTAACAGAAGTTATCCTACATCACTGCAGGAAAGCGCATGTAATGTCCTGACGATTTAAGTCACTGCAACCCTTTGGTGAGGTTGTGTTTAAGCAAGCCAGATCCTATCGAGAGAAGGGGCTCAGTATTTCAGTCAAGCACTCTCCGCAGTTTTCTTTGCAGTTGCCTCAACTCCGGTTTATTAGACATGAGGATATCTTGCTTCAACAACTGTACTCACCAAACTGGGAGAATATTTCTCTCAGTCTGTCGTCATCCATGTCATCCCCAAAGTTTTTGATGTAGACGTTGGTGAACTCCAGCGCCCGAGCCCCAAACTCAGCCTCACGCTCTTTGCGCGATTTGAAATGGCCAACAAACCTGCAGGAAGCAAGGAAAGGGACCTGAAACCCTCCACGTCCCCTGCAGAGGGAAGATGGACACAGGCGCATCTGTCTCAGGACAGGCCAAGAGAGATCCTGTCACCTCAGGCTGTGCTTTGCTCACCCGCAAACCCACCCTGCGTTTCACATCCAGCAACTTCAGCATGTCCCACGCTGGTGTTCCCCCACCCAGACCCCACTTGGTACTACAGACACAGGGGGAGTGGTAGTACAGGGCACAGCCCCGTGCTGGGGATGTCACCCCAGGAGACCCCAAAAGACCCAAAAGGATGTCACCAACTGTCAGCTCTCTTCCTCCAAGGTATCCCCAAGCCCTTTGGACAGCTGCTTGCCTCTGCGGAGGCAGGGATGTAGAGAACAAGGTGATGCAATGCAAGCAGAGAGCTGAAGAACAACAAAGCCTCTTCCTGCCCAGGTTATCTGATGCTGACAGCCGAGATAGAGGATCAGCCCTGCTTTGTGGGCACTCCTTACACCAACTCAGCAACAAAACACAGCCCAGCGTTTGACTCCTTCCCCGCTGTCAGGAACGGCTCCAAACCACTTATCACACTTCCACCAGCATCAGCCACAAGTGACTCACTGCCCTGGGGAGCAGCAGAGCCGCCGTGACCAGCGGGACGGACGGGAAGAGGGGAGATAACAGAGAGCAGCAGGAGCTGGCAGCCCTGAGCGTGCACCAAGGCAAGGGAGGAGCAGAGCCAAGCACAGAGCCGAGGAGACACTGTCCCCCTCCGGCACTTACACCTTCCGGTCGTTGAGCAACATCCCATTCATGGTCTCAATGGCCCGAGTCGCTGCCTCGTGAGTCTCAAAGTGAACAAAGCCATAGCCACGGGATCCGTTTTCATCACAAACCACCTACAAATGCAAAGTGAGGGAGGGAGGAAAGACAGACATCGGTTTTCTCCATACTCGCTCACAAGTAAGCCGCAGGAAGACTCACCCTCATTTTCCAGGGACATTTACCATCCCTGACATCCCACTCCCACAACAGCTGAGCTGCACTGGGGTGCTGGCAGCAGGTCAGGAATCCAGGTGAGAGCTCTGCCCTAGGGCCAAATGTCCTGCTGGGGCCAGGGAGGTTGCCCTCCAGCACCCAGTGCTTTACATGATGCCCAAGAGCTCGTGTCTCACAGAGACCCCAGTGCCATCGATGCACTGAGCTCAGACAGGACAGCACATATCACCTCTGTGCAAGGACGGGGAAGAACGAGGGCAGGGGTGAAAGTCCCTATTCCCAGGGGAAGCAGCAGGACCCTTTGGCTTCCAATCAGGTGGGAATTTAGAGGAAACTTTGTGGGAAGCAAAACAAAGAAGTGAATTTCAGCTGGCCAGAGCACGGGCCGAGAAGTAGGGGCAGCTCTGCAGCGAGCCCTTTCCTGCAGGGCCCATGGGTGCGTGTACCTTGCACGACAGGATGTTTCCGAAGGCAGAGAACGTATCGTACAGGGCTTTGTTATCAATGGAGTCATCCAGGTTCTTGATGAAGACATTCCCAACCCCCGACTTCCTGAGCCCGGGGTCCCGCTGGGACCACATGATGCGGATGGGACGGCCTTTGATCACTTCGAAGTTCATGGTGTCCAGGGCTCGCTCAGCTGGTAAAGAAGCAAATATAAGAGGGTGAGAGGGGGGTAACAGAGACAAATCCCCTTCACATCCTACAGCAGCTGAGATGGGCACAGAAATCAGGGATACTGTTGGACAGGGGCTCATTAACCTAAATGAGACAGGCAGCTCAGCCTCTCAGGGCAGCAGGACCAGGCAGAGGCTGCTCTCTTCCCCTCCAGCCACACCACTCCTTCCTTTATAATTTTTTTCTCCAAAGCATGTCCGACTCCCACAGCATCCCCCATTTCACTGCAAGCTCCATTTTGGCAGATACCAAACTCATTTGCCCAGTAAGGATTTTGGTGTCCAGGGCAACTTCCCAGCACCTTCCCACCACTGCTGCCTTGCTCCAGCATGAAACACCTTTAGGTTACAGCACTGCATCACAGCGATGCCAGCCAAGAGAGGGGCCTCACTTCATGCTGTGAGCCAGCAGGCAGCTGGCTGCCCCAGGGAGGGGCAGAAGGGGTTTTGGTGTCCTTCTCCATCAGCTTATGGGAAAAGGTGACTTGCAAGAGTCACTGAACAAGCCTAAAGCCCAGCTGCCACGTCCTCTCCCAGTCCCTGAGAGGAGACGGTAGTGGGACAGGCCACTATCAGAGAGCAGACTGGGATTAGTTACAACCAAAACTCAACATCAACAGAATATTGCCCAAGCCTCAACAGTTGATGCATCCACTGCTCCCCCCTTTTCCACTGCCTGCCCCTCCACCCCTTGCACGCCCCACACCCCGTTGTGAGGCAGCTCCACAGGGCTGTGTTACAGGGACCGTACCATCCACGGGCTGCTGGAAGTTGATGTAGGCATAGCCCAGCGACCGGCGCGTGGCAACGTCCCGGCAGACTCGGATGGACATGATGGGCCCAGCAGGCGAGAACTTCTCGTAGAGCATGGCTTCAGTCACATCGGGGTGGAGGTCTCCCACGTAGAGAGAGGCTAACGGATAGCCAGGGCCGCTAGCGTTCATGGTCAAACACAGAGCTCAGCTGCTGAGGAAGACAGACCTGAGGCTGAAGTGCAGAGGTTTGGGATTGCGTGCAGCAACTACGGACCCCCACTGGGGCTGGCTCCACCTCAGCAGGGCGAGCAGTGCGCTTCCCTCCGGCAGCGGCAGGACCTGGAATGCCCTGAGGATGCTGCAGTTCCCAAATTTTTCAGGGACGTTTCCATGTTGGTGCAAAACCCAAGCTGGAGCATTCTGCATGTTGCAGCCCTCACATGCCTGGGGGGGGCAGCCCGAGGGACACACCAAACCCCCCACACCGATTTGCTCCTTTGGACACTCAAAACCCAAGAGAAATAAAATGGAGTTTAACTCCTCAGAAGGTAAACAGCCCTTCCCCATCAGAGACTTCCATTGTAACTCCTCCTGGATGGCTCCCTCCAGCCAGCTGCTCAGCCAGAGCGAGCCAAGGAGCGGAGCTTTGCCTGGATCCCCTGCCAGAGGAGCAGCCCTGCAGCCCCCACCGCTCCCAACGACCATCCCCAGCTCTAACAAGGCAAACACAGGTTTTTAGCCAGCCCTTCCCAATTTCACAGCCTGCTGATGAGGCCTCCAAAGCAGGAAAATTGATGCTCAGTATCCCCAACCAAAACCAGGGAGAGAAAGTTGTGTGCAAAGATGACAGTCACTCCTCAAGACCCACCGAGGTGCTGCCCGGGAAAACATCCATGAGGCTCCTCTAAAAGTTTATAAGCCCATCTTTGGGGCTCTTACCTTAAAGTTCGAAAGACTTCAGACACTTGTTAAGTTACTCTATGGATGCCCCAAAGAAACGCACACACGTAGGAGAGGTGCACTAAGCAGTCCCTCGGCCAAAGGCAAGCCTCCACCGCGGGCAGAAGGAGGAAGAGCCGTGCACCAGCCCTGCGGGACAGCCCCCACTCCTCACGAAACCTCCCACGGTCCCCCCCCCCCCCCCCCCGCGAGGCGCTGCCCGCCGAAGGAGCGCAGGCGGGGCAGGCGCGGCTCAGCGGGGCGAGGGAAGGAGCTGCCAAAGGAGCGGAGGATGCCGAGAGCCCGGCCCGGGGAGAGGCGGCACAACCCCCCCCCCACCCCCAGCCAGGGAACCACCGGCCGGCCAAACCCCGCACACCGCCCCCCTGCCCCCCCCCCCCCGCTCCGGGAGGACCCACCGCGCCGGCAGACCCCGGCCCCGCACTCACGCCGAGCGCAGCGGCAGGTTCAGCTCCCAGCGCCGGGGGCTGCCGCCACCCCCCCCGCCTCTTCCCGCGGCGCCGCCGGGGGCGGGACGGGTCCTCCCCGCCCTCCCCTCCTCCCCCTCCTCCCCCTCCTCCTCCCCCTCCTCCCCCTCCTCCCCCTCCTCCCCCTCCTCCCCCTCCTCCTCCCCCTCCTCCCCCTCCTCCCCCTCCTCCTCCCCCTCCTCCCCCTCCTCCTCCCCCCCCTCCTCCTCCTCCTGCTCCTCCTCCTCCTCCTCCTCCCTCCCTCCCTCCCCCAGCTGCGGCCCGACCTGCGCCCAGCACCCCAGGGGTACACCCCCAGCCCCGCCGAGCTCAACGGGTTGAAGCAAAAAGCCCGCGGTTGCACCTCCTCATTTTTTTGCAAATCGCAGCGGGGGAGCTGCCCGCCTTCCTCGGTGTCTTTTCGAACGTGCGCAAGGGGAATGGTGCTGCAGCTTGGCCCTCCAACGCTGACAGCGTTTTGCCAACGCTGCGTCTCCCACCCACCCATTTTTAGGAAATCACCGGCAGGCTCTGGTGGGTAAACTCCCTGAAGTGAAGAAATTCAGGCAGGAGCCGGTAAGATGTACACATCTCGGTACAACCCCCCAGTAGGCGCTGGTGCAAACTCCACAGCAAGCCCAGCAGAGAGCAGGGGGGGGGCAGAGCCTGGCCTCTGCCATCACCTCATGCCTGGGTGACACGCAAGTGTTGTAAGGTCACCTTCAGCCACCGAGATCACGTCCCAGCTGTGCTGGGCATAATGGGATGCGTATGAAGGGTGATGATTTGTCGTTTTAAGGATTTGCTGTGCAGCTGGAGCAGTGGATGAAGGAGCGGAGGAGCCCAGGGCAGCGGGCAGGGCAGTCCCACCGGCAGCGCGGTGGTTGCGGGGCTGCGCTGGGCCCGAGCCACCAGCACCTCCACATCTCAGCCCGACTCGCTCCTTGGCCACACACCCTCTGCTTCTGCACTTCCAAGCAGGGAAGCTGGAGCAGCAGCACAAACATCTCATGTTGACTTCAGCTGACCAGGTCTGCTGGATTTCATGAAAAAAGGCGGTTCCTGTGCTGCCATGGAGTCCATGAATGCTGCTCAGGGGCCACACCAGCCTGCTCCAGGCAGCACACACCACGCAGCACCACGGTCCCACTCGTTACAGCAGAACTAGTCCAAGGGTGGGTGCTCAGCTCCACCCCAGCCCGTGCGCTCGGAAGGGGCGACTGCAGTGCAGATCGGGAGAAGCCATACCTTCCCAAAAGCTGGCTGGTGGTTTCCCCTGGGTGCCTCACCCGGAGGGCAGCTGAGCATCAGTGCCAGGAACAAGAAACCGCAGCAGCACCAGTTAGATCAGTTAAAGGTGCAGGGTATGCCTGGACTCTTACTAGGGCTGGAAAAGTGCCCTTTCCCAAAATGATAGAATTACTTGAAAAATTAAGATATTCCCAGTTCATTACTGCTGCAGACCAGTCTTCTAGGCTCATAATTTCCTCCAGAAGAGAAAGCAAGGATGGGAGATGTTATGTGAAAGAACTGGGGCAGGACAACTGCTCTATGATCAGAAGCAGCTAGCAGGACCCAGGATCTTTTCTTCTCAGAACTGACAATATCATCAGCATGAGTCAGATTGGGAGATAGTGTACACTATAAAACCATTTAGGAGCAAGTACATCCATAAAGGCTGAAAACAATTACAAAGTAGGAATAATTACAGACTTAAGCAGAGGGACCACCATTTAAAGCCGTGGCACAGGACAGGCCAGTGCTTGATCAGCAGCTCATTAGATTTTGGCCTCTCGCCTTTGTAGGGGTCAATCACGTGAAGCCGAGCGACATTATCCACAGAGCAGACGTGTGTATCACCTCCCAGCGGGAGCGAGCGGCTCCCAGAGCAGGAGGGACGGTCACTTTGGCCCCTGCCAACCTCCCCAGTGCTTGTACACTGGCCGGCAACGAGCCTGGCTCCCACTATCCATCCCGGGGTTCCAGGACACCTCCCCCTGCACCTAAACGGGCCTTCACACTCCCAGCAGTGCTTTTGCACAGCACCAGCTGGGCAGGGCAGAGCTCACGGGAGGACACACAGGTTACAGGTCACCAGTGCAGCTGGGCGGGCAAGCAGGCCCTGGCTAGCAGGCCAGCTGAAGAACTGACCCTGCATTTAAAGGACTGCCTAGGGAAAAAGCTTTAAATGGAACCAACGGAATTCTCTCCTACATGGTGTGTTCAACCATACAATATGCAATGACTCATGGCAAGTTAAAAGAAATGCAACTATAAATACGTACTTAAGTCCTGCGATGACAATATATGGTAAGTATGACCTCCAAAAATAAAGAGAACCGGTGTTTTCTACTACAAATCTGGGAGGGTGTGTGGGGAAGTCTCTCCGCGAAGGAATGAGTAATTAAGTATTTGGAAACCAGGAACCAACTCACACAATCCAGGATCTGAGCATTTAATAAAAGTAAGCGTTGATTTTACTATCACAGGTTTTTTGCCACTAGTATGGCGAAGATAACAGACACAAACAACTGATAAAATTTTTTTTTATTATTCACTTTTGAATTCTTTTACACTTTCCTGATTATTTTGTGTAAGGTGAAACTAGAACTGTTTAAAAGACATACACAAATCTAGTACATCAATAACCAGGTATTTCTTTTTGCTATACTATTCTCACAACCACGTGTGTGCTAGGCAATATAACCGTCACAGAAGCAAACTTTAGGCAGAATACTGGTCAGTAAAAACAAAGCGAAAAGAGCTACCAGATATACAGACAGGCTCGGTTCCACATTCACTACTGCATTTATCAAGCGCCAAGTATTAACTGCACAATTTGTTCAGCTAGTAGAAGGGAGTTTTAAAATCAGTGCATGAAATTCTCTTCAGCAGACAGATGGACAGACAAACAGATGGATCCTATACCTAAGTGGAATGTGAAGGTAGGGGGATGATACCGCGAGACTGATAGGTGACTATTCCTAATCTTTTCCACTGCATTATTCACGCAACTCTTACTAGGTTTTATTTAATGGGACATGTTTGAAACATAACTAGGTGAGGACGTTTGGAGCTCAAATATTACAAGTTACAAGCGTTACAAATGTGTAGGTCTGCATTCCAGTACAATAAATGGGAAATCCTGAATATCTGAGCCATATCCCAGTGCTACCAAAAAACGGCAGATGAGCTGAAGGCTGCAGCAGCACTGGCAGCTCTCAAACATCCAAGAAACCTACCTGTCCTTGAGCAGGGTCAGGTCTGACCCACCATCCTGACATCACCCATCATCAAAGAGGGGATGATGCGTATGTGGGAGTCCAAGATCGCTTTAATGGAATTTAAACAGGTGAGAGGGTCAAGGATGAACAGAGTCCTATGGGAGAAAAATTTCTAGAAAGTAAACTTAAAGATGGCTCAGTGGATTACTTAAGAAGTTTTCAGGATAAATTCAAAATGGGAATACCATGGAGATTTCGATTCACCTAAGAGTAAAGTAATGCAAAAGTGGGAGATCACTTCATGGTATCATCCAAACTAATAAGGCCATTCAAAAAATTGAATCTTCTCCTATTGCAAGTCCATGGTAGTGAACCAAGAATTCTCACTACTGAAGAATATCTAAAGTATAATTAAGTTATTGCTGTGGGAAGGGGCTTAGTCATGCATGTCATATGAGCATGAAAGCACTTTTAAAAGTCAAATCCCAGTTATCTGCCAGTGTAAAGAGTTTGGAAATCAAGCTAACTCCCCCATTACCCTCCTCCCCAAAACAAACCCCATCCCCAGAAAGACAGAATTGACAAAGTGAGCTTTTGACTGAAAGCGGTGCCTCAGACTTGGTTACAAATGTCTACAGAGTGTGCCTGTTAAACTAATTTGTAGCACTGTTACTAACTGGAATGCCATACATCGGATTGTTTTCCTTCCATGCCCCAGTGTCACAATAGAATCTCTATAACTTTCTGTACAACTTTACAACAGAATTGTACTTCGACTATTTTGGTGCCAAATTAAGCTCGCCAGAGTTACATAATTGATGTCTACTTTTCTACCAATAAGAGTTTTGTAAAGTCAATTGCAATCACAAAACCCATAATCACAGTGTTAAGTTAAAAATATAAACACGGTAATCATAACTGTAAATGGTCATAATAGGAAAGTTCGGAATGCCATTATAATAACCGACCTCCGCTTTAAGTACACAAAACACCAACCAACCGTTTTTACCCCACAGACAGTTTTTGCTACGTTGAGGTTGTGAAAGTCGATGTACTATTCTTTTTGCTTGTCGCACAAAGGGATATATGTGTAGGATACAGGGTGACATTGAACATATAGTGAAGCGTGACAGCCATTAGTTCTCTCCCTCCCCAGCATCCCCTTCATCTCCCTGGTTTTCCGACGTCCATAGCTGTAAGAAAAATACAAACACATGTTTATGCTGAAAGCATGCAGTTAATTACAATTGGCAGGCAAGGGAAGACAGCATAATTAGCAGTAGCTGTGCAACCTTCTCAGCTAAGAGCAATACAGAACTGAAAGCTAAGGAATAACAAACTAGAAAATGAGGAGAACAAGTAAAAAGCCAGCACAAGTCTGCAAGGTAAACGTAAAGCTGGCTGTTGAGAACAGACAAACTCCGCTTTGTGTTACAAAAAAAGCTAAGTTTGTTACAATACTTAACAAGTGATTTCTGGTTTAAACAAGCAAGTCTTACTGGTCTGGTTATAAAAAGTTAAGACACGCAGTTAATGCCTCAGAGGAGGCTGTTAATGGCACAGAACTATGTAAGTCTTCAGATGTCAAGTGCCACTTCAGAGAGTCCAGCAGCCTAAAGAAGTAACAGCCATAGTGCAGCAGTTTGCCCCGTGATACTCACAGTGAGGTTGTCCCTAAGCAGCTGCATGATCAGAGTGCTGTCTTTGTAAGACTCTTCATTCAGCGTGTCCAGCTCTGCTATCGCCTCATCAAATGCCTAAAATTATGCAAGACAAAGCACTTTCACACTGCTCTCTGAATGCACTTCTGCTTACACAGAGCTTACAAATTTGCCACATTACTATTCAAATTCTGTGATAACAGCTTCCAGTATTTTTCTTTTCCACCAAGAGAAGAAATGTAAACCGAAGGAAGCACCAGATTATTAGACAATCAGTGGGAAAACAGAAGTCTTCGTGGGGGGGGAGGGGGGCGTCCAGATTAAAGCCCAAAACAACTTTACTACCATGCCAATTCCAAGTACTGAAGAGGCAAGCGCACTCTGTCATACTGAAGAATGATTCACACAGCTTGAAGCTGGGTTTAAGAACACCACTTAAAAGCAATGCTTCCACTAAAAATGAAGGCCTTGCTGGTCTAAATCGTCAGTAAGAGACAAAGGTACCATTAAGGTGATACATATATATATATGTACATGAGTAAGTAGGCAAGAAAATGGAAGAAGGGGTTTTTGACGGTGGGATGGAAGGCCTTGGATTTCTATTCAAGACCGCATAGGAAATCAGATATGATTCTTAAAGATCAATTAAGCCATTCTTCCCATTGATCTGTTACACATGAAAGCCCGTAACAGACCTGCAGTGTAACAGCTGCAAGCCCGAGAGCCATGAGTAAGTGCTATTTCTTCATTCAGGTTTCAAACAGATGTAAGTATATTAACTAAAAAAGCAGGAACGGCAGCAGCATTTTATACAGCAAAACATCACCTGTTGTATTACTGAAGTGCATATTAAGAACACAAAGATTCACCTAATGTCGTATTACCCAAGTTACTACCAGACAATTTTCACAGATGCAAAAGCTCCGTTTAGAAGGCTCTAATCCTATTTTAAGGAGAAGGCCAAGACAAAAATGACTATTTGTTTGGCACAACCCATCGCACAAGCTCTTTTTGGTCTCTGGAGAAAGAGATACATGCACACAGATACACAAGGACATTTAGGGCTATGACTGCAGCCACAAAGATGACACTTCATGTATTTGCTAAGTGTTCAAATTTAAATAAATAATTCACTTGCGAAGAGCTAATTAATCAAAGTGTTTTCAAATCTGACACAAGCACATTCTAAGAGAATTACATGGATGTAAGAGGAGGCACTTTGTCTCCCCTTTCACAGGATCAACTACATTAGCAAATTAGCTTTTCTTAAGGCTAAGCTAGTCTAGCTAACTTACCTGAAAATATACTATAATGAAAATAGTTTAAAGATGACAGCATTTTTAAGGAACTTGATATGAATAAGCATAATTGTCTATGAAGTGCTACAGCAACCATGTAATTATCTCCTTAGCCTCCACAAAAATTGGTAGTATGAAGTGCCTGCTTACCGTCTTTGCCAGATTACAGGCTTTTTCAGGAGAATTTAGTATCTCGTAGTAGAAGACAGAGAAATTTAGAGCCAAACCAAGTCGAATGGGGTGTGTTGGCTGCATCTCTTTCTTGCTAATTTCAAATGCCTCCTGGTAAGCTTGCTGAGAGTTTGCTACTGTTGCTGCAAGAAGTAATTACAATCATATTAATGCACAGTACATCACTACTTCACGGGGGAAGCTATTATATTCTTGGTCTAGACTACTGTGCCACCAGAAATTCATACAATTACATATGCACAGATGCTTCTTTCAATGTTTTTAGATGTAAAAGCCTACCAGTAACTGATCTATTCAGGCAGAAATATTTGTTCAGATAAAGTTTTGAGACACAGAAATAAAGTTCAACATTTTAATAGAGACTTTAAATGAAATTTATTCACAATAAATTCCAACCAATCTGAACACACACAAGTTCTACTGCAGTCAAAATGTATTGTGATTAAACACTCACTTCCAGCCTAGCTGAAGAAGTAGTAGTTCTCAATAATAAATCCAGACAAGACCAGGTGGGGAAGAAGAGGTATCTAAACTACCTATTTAAACTGAAGGAAACATTTAGCATGTAGATCATGAATTTTACAACTCAGTTTGGGGTTTCAGAGAAAAGACAACAGTCTCTTCCCAGCTAATGGGTAACAATAAGCTCCAGAATGACATGAAATGAAGTTTGCAAGACCTGGACTACATCAGGCACTCACTAGGAATTCAGGCACAGTTCAGCATTACTGCAATGTTTCAGGATTAATTGGCTTAGGACCCAGTAACCTAATACTCCATATTTGCATGCAGAAAGCTTGCAAACAGTGAAGACTTGTGAGCTAAATCCACAGTTTAAATGAGAGATGATAGGAACAAAGCATTATTTGTGAGAAAAAAAAACACACTTCTCCAGGAAAAGGATTTTACACTGCCAAATATGCTTAAGAATCAGTCACCGAGGTCAGGGGCTGCAAGCAGAATTTGATTGGTTTGATGAATGTCTGTCAATCACTTCTATTAATTTCAGTGAAGTTTTTCTCTAAAAGTGACTTGCACTGCACCCGTCTTCCATACTACAGAGCAGTAGTGGAAAAGAAATGAATACTACATGTTAGGAAAAAAGAACACAAGTATTTCTTACACTTTATTCTGTTCAGGCCCCAGCAGAATGAGAGATTTCATCTCTACTTACTTTGTTTATTGTCCCCAGATGCCACCTCTGAGAGGTATCTGTAGTAATCGCCTTTCATTTTCAAATAGAAGACCTTGCTTTCTGGCTGTGTGGCATTGACAATAAGGTATTTATCCAGGAGTTCCTGAGAAAGCAAACATCACTTCTTTTTTAACAAGTCATAAAAATAACATATGAAACAGAGCCTTCGTTACAGTGGTAAGCACGAGCTGCTAAAACATTAACAATGACTTCTGCATGCTCATGTGTTAATCGTTCTGCCCACTGTTGTCTAAACTCAGAAAAAAAGATAAAACTACTTGTATCCTAATCCCTGGAAAGCAGAAAACTTGCTGTGTTGAGGCTATCCACAATTCACTTCTGCAGAATCTAAAGGCTATCGAGGCTTAAGACTGCAAAGAATTTCCTTGAAATACACTGATGCAAAGCTATGTCCATAACCAAACTAATGAAAAACAGCAGCTTGCCAGTAGCACAAGGCTGGTCACTTTTGCTGCCACAAACTTGAATTCTACAGAGCAGTGAAGTTATCCACAACAAACTGATTCTACCCGCAACTCCAGCTGATAAACTGAACAGTGGCACAGTCAGCACATGTGCGTTCAGAAAGAGATGCAAAGCCTGACAGTACTGACAGCAACTGCTCCTGACAGACCTTTAGCAAACTGAACAGCAATAAAAAGAATCCCTCTCATCTAAGTGAAATAGCAAAACCAATTTGGGGGAAGTACATACCTTCTCCATCCAAAAAAAGTATTAAACAAGCCTCAGGACATCAGCACTCACTAAGGGAAGAATTTAAATAGAAGGTCTTTTTTAGCAGGACTCGTGCCAGTGCCCTAGATCTAAATTTGTTTTCATGGTGACCCCTAACCAGCAGCTAGGGGTCTTCAACATTGCCTTGTCTGCTTTTTTTGAACACAAATAAATGCTCTTTTGTAACAAATGCCCTAACAAACTAGATGACTTACGAGCTAGAATTGGACCCAAGTACGTGGCTATACAAAATTATTCTCCTGCTAAGGTGCTGCAGTGTCTACATCGCTAGTAAGATTCCTCAAGCCTCTCTGAAGAATGCTGCAGTACTAACTACTGTTATTTTTGCTGTTGGATTATTACCAGAACATCATTGCAGATATCCTGCAATTCAGCCTCAATTTTCTCACGATATTCTCTTCCCATCTGCTGTTTCTTCTCATTCCTCTCTGTTTTCTGTTCAATGCTGGAAATTACACGCCAGGATGAGCGACGGGCACCAACCACATTCTTGTAGGCAACTGAGAGTAGATTCCTTTCTTCATTGGACAGTTCATGTCCTTGCTCAGTGACAGCTTTCATAGCAGCAGCCATGTCATCGTAACGCTCAGCCTGCTCAGCCAGTTTGGCTTTCTGTACCAACTCACTTTTATCCATGGCTCTCCTGTAATTAGTGGGGAATAAAAATAGAGAAAAATGTCTCTTGATTGTCTGCACTGTGGAACTTAATGCTGAAGGGTGAAGCAGAACTCAGACACTGTAAGTGGGACTCTGTCAACTCTAACAAAGTAATACAAAGGGTTTATTTTTTAAAATTCGTTGACCTTTTGCCAAATATGTATAATTTCTATGTATATAAGACTAATCACAATCCTTAAGATATGTAAGCATCATTCTCCAAAATGCAGCTAAATTCATATTGGCATTATGTTGCCCATGTAAATCTCTCCCCTTTCCTATAGTGGCCACAGCTCAGCCTGGGAGACACTGCATGTTCTAAATGACAAACCATCAGTTTTGGTTGATTTCTTCTTTTTTTTTTTTTTTTTTTTTTGTTTGTTTGTTTGTTTTCCCCCTCACTATTATACAACAGCAACTACTTAGGAGCTTTGAAGCACTGGACAGCTCCTCCTGACAGTGAAGACTGCTTGTGCACTACAGATGTTTCTGTGGGTTTAAATAAATCATAAGCAGTAAAACTGTAGTTATTGGCAACTATGGAAAGTACATTTATATTGTTTTGCCAGAAAACTGTTTTTTTAAAATACATGCATCAACATACATATAATGGACAATTCTACACAGCTAGGATAGCTGCAGACTCAAAAACTTTTAAAAAGCATTGACATTCACAAATCTCAAAGGGCCATGGCTCACATGATGGTAACAACTGCAAAACCAATTGCCTATATGGAAACAACTTTTTTATCATTTCTGATAATGCAGTTTAGCAACTGAAGCCAAGAATAACACATCACATGACCGCAAAGCCCTTGAAGAGCTTAAGAATTGAAAAATTAAGTCAGTAAGGAACATGTCAGTGAGGCAGCTTGAGCGTTGCTTACTTCTACAAGACAATGCTAACATAGAGTTAACTCAGCCATTGGGCTACCAACCTTGTACTTAACCACCTAGGGCCAGGTTCACAAGAGAACTTAAACAAGTTTCTTTGCCTCTATCGAGGTAAGTGGACCTCAATAACTCACAAACTCTAAGTTGCCCCAAATTAATCTGTAAAAATTCTCCAGGTGCATAGGTTTACTTTCAGACAGACCCAGAACTGTTATTCTTGTCAGCACTGAGCAATAATGTTCCTCTCCTACTCCCTAAGTCCCAATCAGGACTCTCACTGTTCAGATAAGAAGTTTTCAGGCTGAGACCTAACAGCCTAAAAACAACTTCTGCAAGAAAAAGACAACAGTTCAGTTTACAATTGTTTTTCATAGGCTTCTGCTCCTTAGACAAGCATCTGCAGCCCTCTTAGAAAGAGCCAACAGGCTGAAAGCAATTGCTGTGGCCTTTTCCCTGACAGTCTCCTTTGAAGATCCCAGTCTGACAGGCTCCTGATGAAGAATATCTCACACACATTGCTCAGTTTGTATTTTAATCCAAGTATCACCCAGCACACTATTATACAGGCAAACCAGGCCCCTATACTAAATCCTCAACTAGGACAATGAGATGCAGACCCAAATTCCCATCATCTGAGTGAGCTGTTTCAGAGTTCCCTACTGCCAAGGACAGAGTCCTAATAACAAAATTATTTTGGGATGAGTGTATTCAATCCCTTCAGATGAAGATACTCTGCTTCAGCAAAAAAAAAAAAAACCCAATCACCCAAGATACCAAGTCAAACATCATTATTTCATATGAAAGGTCTTGGAGTAAAACTGGCACCTAAATGTCCTACCTGCTATACATGTGAAAGTCACACTCACTCCTGCTTGTGTTTGATCCTTTGTAGACCCAGCCTAACGCATCCATCCATGTAAGGCACTCGGTAAGGATATATAATGCTACAACCAGCCTCCTGGAAAGAGACCTCTTGGAGACTTGTAAGTAAAGTTGGGCTGCGGTTCAGTTCCATTTCAAATACTGTGTTTAAAGGGGTGGACTCTGGCACCTATCAAAGGTGACAAAAACTTCAGACTAAAGCCCTGAGCAAGACAGACTGACTGTGGGCAGCAGTGTGACAAGTTCTTGTAAAGCATGATTAATTTGGCCCTGTTCTGCCCAAGAGGCTTTTACCATGAGGATATGCTATACTGTCACTGGCTTCTGCAGACTTATCAAAAGACTAGATCCTGAGGATGGAAAGGGGTAAGTGGAGTTTGTGATGTGAATTTTCTCTCCCTACTCTGAAGCATATCTTAGTACTGACACATAACTAGCCTAAGGAAATCAGGCTGTTTACCACTGAGAGAACCCATCCCACTATCAAACCTTGTAAACCATTCCCTCAACTCAGCAGCAAAGTTACACATAGTGTAAATTAATGCAGGAAGTAATTTGAAAGTGGCATTTCTCTACCTACTCACTAAAATATGAGCATGTGTAAAGTACACCTGAGGAATGCTTTTTATCTTACAAGAGCCAACTTTAAATAAATGGACATTTAAACAAAACAGTTTCAGAGCAGTTCTAGCTTCCTCACAGTCTGCATAGCTTCTAGAAGCATTTCTATTTCAATCATCTTTTCTTATGGATTGTGACTATTATGTAGAAAAAGCCTGCATGTTGAAGTCCAGAGGCAAGTAGCTCCAACAGAGTTTACATTTTGCCATTGAAAGGTCCATTTTATCTTTGATCTGCACTTTGCCAATAGTGGTCTAATGTGTAGACAAGTCATCTGTGCAGAATTCCATTTACAAATAATACATAGTTTAGTTCAGAGATGGTGCAGAGTTTGCTTTATCAAGCTCACTGACATATTTATCTTTAGATGCAAGTCAGTTCACAGTAGTCAATGGGTTCATATAAGGACACATGAAGGAAATCACAGAGGGAACTGCAAGGGCATAAAGATGTAGTGGATAAAGAGAGATCCAGAAACCAGTTAAACATATCAGTTATACAGGCGAAATACCAGCACAAAGCATTAGAATGCTGTTTCTCATCAAACAACTTTCATCAGTAATGCAACTAATTTATGCACATCTTAAATGTAACTCAAACTGATTACCAAAGATGGAATTCTGAGGAACTTCACTGGCTTAGTTTTGACATAAAAATTCAGTATACAGGGGCCTGAGTTGTTACTTAATTAATCTTAGTATCTGTACTGCCAGTAGGTTTGCTATGAAACACACAAAGTATTATTCAATAACATGAATTTAACAAAACTAAAATGCAGTAAGAAAATTACTGCCCACACTAAAATATCTGCAATCAACAGTAAGCCTACCATTATTTTGTTCACAGGGTGCTGCATAAAGGAGTGCTTAAAATCCTTATTCGATTCTCCATTGCTTACCTTGTTAGAAGCTTGGGGAGAGCTTTGCAGAGCTATGCTGGCTTGAGCTCCAAAAGAGGGAAGTGTTTGCCAGAAGGAAAAAAGATACAAGGAAAGGAGTGATGTTTGAAAAGGCAAAGAAGCAACTATCAGTTATAGCTGGTCCCTCCCATAGAGGAGATGAAAGCCACACTCTAACAATGGATCAGTGTGCCACGGTCTGAAACAAGCAAAGCCTACAGCTAAAAATACTCCTAGGCCACAAACAGAAGCCATCTAACAAAAGTTACCTGCAGCTAGGAGCAAAACACACAAAGGTGATGAACAGGAGGCTGACAGGAATGATCTATTCTAGCACTAATGAAGCCATGCCATATCGGCAAGGGGGAAAGAGGGAAGATGGAAAAAGGAGCGGAGACGTGCAGATCACAGCCATGGAGGAGTCCTGACAGTTGCCCGTTCTAAGCAGAAGATTCTCATGTTAGATGCGTTAACACATTTCAAATTCTTAAGAATCTATCAAACCACAACTTAGTAGCCCCCCCAAAAGAAGTGGCTGGGCACTATTGCCAGTGAGGAATGCCAACCACTAACCAGGAGTTGCAGCTAATAGTACCAGCTACCAGAAGTTTGAATCACCCTAAATCCCACACTCAATTTTTTTTGTTGTTATTTTTTTCCTCTATCTCCCATACAGCTTAAACTCTTCCAATCTCTCCTACAATTGCAGAATAGCATGTATACAGGTACTAAAAGTTACATGTGCTTGCTTCCCACCCCCAGAAAAGCTTTACGCCTGTGTAGACGAGACTCTGAAACATATTACAAAGCATCAAAGGTCAGAACCTGTAAAACGCATTAATCTATCTGCCTCGCTATTTTTAGTAGAAGGGGATGGTGCGACCATCCTGGGAACAGCATCTTTGGTCAGTACACACACAGATCTTTCAAGAGTGGATGGACACACAGAACTGGAGGGTTATGTCTCAGTTACAGCTGAGGAGTAAAACATACGGATAACGTTCTTCAGAAGACTGCAGGAGCCTGAGGAAACATACAGATAACGTTCTTCAGAAGACTGCAGGAGCTTGAGAACTACATCTTACTGCTCAGCAGTTACTACATCTGCTTCGTAGCCTTTATTGTTTCCAATCTTGATGAGCTGTTTAGGACAAAGCCAAAACAGATCAGAAGTAACTGTGTTTAAAGTCTGTAGAAATCAAATGAAAACTGACACTGAAAAGTATATGGCTTACATAACATATTGAACTGACAAGACAATACTAATAAGCCTATGTTGGCCTGAAGTCTGCTGCTCTCGATGACCTGTTCTTCTGATGCTAATTAAGTCATTGATTTTTGTATACTGTTTTTCTCTTTATAGCAAGCATTAGAATCTATCAGACAAACACTTCCACTTTGTAAAAAAATTGGTGAGAAAGCAAAGCAGTGCAATTAGTGGCTTGACACTGCGGTCCCTAATGAGTCAGACAGAGATGCAGGTTAAGAGACCTGCATGTTTCATGCGAGAAATGAATGTAAAACCAGATTTGGTGAAATGGGATGCAATCATACTTCTCAGCCACCAACTCTGTAAGTCCATTCAAATTGTAACAGGAAAAGCAGCAGACTGGTACAGAACTTGTAGTTCGATCTTCCAACAGTATGTGAACATACATTATTTCATTTCTGGATGGGCAATTCATTCAAAAATTAAACATTCACATGAGGTAAGTGGTATTTTAAATTACAGTTCTGTAATTACATAGAGTAAGAGCTTTGGAGATACTATTTCTAAACCAAATGGAAAATCCTTCTCCATAATTCAGGTACACACGTGCTGATACAAGTATCTGCATGATGTTGACGGCATTCACTGTCAAGTAGACATCGCTCCCAACAGATATTCTTTATAAGAAAGGAATCAGCTCTTTAAACGAAGTGCAAGGAACCTTCCTTGATTTATCACAGTACTAGGCATTTTATTTTATTAGTTGCTTCTCTATTTTGGTTCCCTCAAAGGCTACCATGTATTGGTAAATAACTGATCAGAAAAGGAACGTGTTTGCTAAGATCTGAACAGTGAAATCTTCCACAACTGTCAAGAGCTTGGGTATAACAACTCCTTCAGTAAAATACATGACAAACATAAAGAGGTAAAAAGGAAAATGACTTCACAGTTGTGATATTCTTGCTGACCTTGTGCAGCGCATAACATCAGCCTCCTCTGCATCTACTGATTAACTAACTGTACACGCTGGCCTTCAGCTCAAATCTTTATGCAAACGTTCAGATAAAATTAACATTCTATCAAAGCCATGCCTAAACCTGCTTTGACCATCTTCTGCCATCATTACTTGCTGCTTCCTAAAACTGACCAATACAACTTTTGAATAAAATTACATTCAACTGTTTTCAATCTCCATAGACAATTATGACATTTCTGTGACAAGAACCAATACTAATATTGTATGGACAACTTAAATTTAGCGACAGTAGCCTGGTTCTTCTTAATGTCATTGAAATGAGGGACTGCAGGCTGCAAAGGACTGCACTGCTACATACCTGTGGCACTTCACACAGGACAGCTGCAGGTGGAGACAAGCACGAAGTTCCAAAGTACAATATACTTACATGGCAACACCTTTCTGTTCCAACTAGCAGAATTGGTTTTGGGTAGAATCCAGGTGGAAATAGTGAGTTATCCCAAAAAATCTTCCCCCAGGCATAAAGTTTGTGCCAAACTAATGTATTCATATCACAGGTAAATCCCTTTTGTTAATAATAAACTGAGAGTATTTATATTACAGGGTGGGGCAAAAAGTGCAGCCATATAAAAGGCACACTACTGTAATGCCTAGTCTTACTGGGATTTATTAGGATACCAGACAGATTAGAATACTAACTTTTTACCTCATTATTCAAATAATTATTTACTTAACTCCTCCTCATCTGAGTTTATTCACATGCAGCACAAAAAGCTGCATACTGGCAAAGGCATGCTTAGGGGAAAAAAAAAAAAAAAGGCTCAACATCAAAATAGCAGTGATCAGAACATGCGGTACTGACATAATGAGGTTGAGAAAACTGCACTAGGCCCATCTGTGCAATGAGTCTACCACTTTATTGGTACCAATTTAATAAACAAAATATTATACAGGCTATATTTTTGCAGTCCTTTAATATGAAGACTGAAAAAAGCACTAGCATTCTTACTTGTTTCTTTTCTAGATCAGTTTACGTCTCATTATTATTTCAAAATAAAAGCTTTTATTTTCATAAAGAAGTATTAAAATTTCTGAGGTGCCCTGCAGCAGTGAGCATACAAAGACGCAAATGTTCCTACAGTCACTGAAGCTACAAAACCTTATAAATGTTCTCAAACTCTCTGATATTTTTATGTAGGGATTCAGCTTTTATGTCGCTGCATGAGGTGCAGTTTGTCTTCCTGCCACCAGAAAAGGTGTTTTAGCTATCAATGAGGAATTGAGCTGAAAGCAACCAATTTATATTGTGATCTCTGCATTAGATCTCCTGTTAGCGTTTTGCTCCCATATGCTAACAGAGGGACTGTATGCCACTAACATTTGATCATCCCAATTAATATCTGATTATACATCCCTCAAACAAAACCTATGGCCGTTAGCTTTGGGTTACTGCCCAGCCTTTTTGTAGACTGGGGCTGGGTTGCAGCAACCTTCTTTTCCTCTGGCATCCTCCCTAAACGCACCTCTATTCCCAAACGGACACAAACGATCAAAAAGAATAATAAAATCATTTCCTTCCAAAGCATTCACGCCATTTCCGTGATCACCTTCGGTCCTACGTGAGCAGGCTCATCCCACCCGGCACACAAACGGCAGCGGCCACCTCCCCCCTCCCGCTGGCAGGGCCCAGCGCTGCGGCTGGGCGCCGAGCTCCCGGTTTCGCGAGGCCGCCCCAGCCCTTCTCCCGCTTCGGGGAGCCGCGGGGACGAGGAGGGCTGCGGCCTACACTGACCGCGGCGGGGCGGGGAGGGCCGGGCCCAGGCTCCCTCCCCCGGCCGCTCGGCCCAGGTGTGCGCGGCCGGCCTCGCCCTCCGGGGAGCGAGTGACTCACCGGGGCGGGGCGGGGCAGGGCTGGGCGCTCGGGGAGGAGGCGGCGCCGCCCGCCCGGGCTCCGCAGCGGCAGCCGAGGGAGGGTCACACCGTTAGTCGGGGCGGGGAGGAGGCAGGGCCCGCCGCCCCCCCCCCCCCCCGGTACGCGCCGCGGGGGGACCCTCCCGGGGGCAGCCAGGCCGCGCCGACGGGGGGGAGCGGGAGGCCGGGGGTGGAGAGGGAAGGGGGTGGGGAGGCCTCCCCTGCCGGCGGGGCCGCAGCAGCCCAAGGCCGGCGCTGGAGGAGGCCGGGGGAGCCCCGGGGGCCTCACCTGTCGGGGGCGGCGGCACCGCGGCCTGGATCGCGGCGGGCGAGGCGAGGCGGCGGGAGCGCGGCGGCCGCTCGGCGCACGCACGCACGCACACACTCACACACACACACACACCCTGCGGCGCTGCGGCCCCGCTTCCGGCGCCGCCGCCACGCCCCTTCCGGCGCCGGGGGGGGGTGGGTGGGTGGGTGTGCAACGCCGCCCCCTCCCGCCTCCCCATTGGGCCGCGGCGGCGGGCGCCAGCCGGCCTCGCGGTTGCCATGGCGACAGGCGGGGCTCCGCTCGCGCCCCCGCCGCCCCCTCAGCCGCCGCCATCCCGGCAGGGCCGCCCGGCGCCCCGGGGGCGCGGGCCTCCCCTCCCCTCCCCTCCCCTCAGCGCGGCGCTCCCGCCCCGAGGCGGCGGTTTTGCGGGGAGGCCCGGGGCCTGGCGCCCCCGCCCCGGCTGCAGAAACCCGGCCAGAGTAAGGCCTGCTCGCCCTGTCCCGCCTTGGCACCCTGCACGCTGGGCGCTTCGGCTTGTCCGAGCTGGTTTCGCACACGTAGGGCAATCCCTGGTGCGTCTGGTCAATGCAACCGCAATAAAGAGGTAGAGTGGCTCTCCAGGAGAGAACTGCTCTGGCTGGGAACTGCAGCACCTTATTGAGCGGCAAGAAGGCAGCATTTTTAGTTTTCTTGCTATTTCTCTGGCTGAACCTCACGCTAAGGGACGTCCCTGCAGACCACAGACAATGGGTGACATTCTGTGCGCCGTCGTGGAAGTTCACAAATGGTTTCAATTGCAAGGTCACCTTTAGACACTGTTTTAGTAGTGGTTCCCTTCCTACAATTTAAATTGCATGTTTTCACTGAGAAAACAAGATCCTTAATGGCTAAAGAAGTTTTATGCAATTGTAAAAAATGACATTCACTAGAGAAATGGTGAGAGCATTTTTGGGGCATGAGGAAAAGTCTAGCTTGGTCTCCAAGAAGGAATCCAAGGAAAAGAGTTCAATTTTATAATGCATGTAATCCTTTGGATAAGAAATGACTGAACACACAACCTCACCCTGCTCCCAAGTCTCAACTTCGTAGCAGTACCACTTGTCAAAGCATTAGTATTGGAGCTGAAAGACGCTCTGTCCAATTACAATATCCCAGAGCCCAATTTTCTCTTACACTTTCAGATACAATCCTGGTCCTGTCAAAGTCACTGTCAAATTCATTTTTGGTGATGGAAGGACTTCATTAGTTTCCTGCTTAGTCTCGGTCCAAAGGTTAATTACTTTGGAAAGCCAGGGGCAAAATTACTTGGCACCCGCAAGTTATCTTAAGCTGCAAACAGTGATTCAGCTAGATCAGCTGTTGTCATGTCTCTCTCTTGTTTTTTGCTTTTCTAGGTGAAACTTATTTTTTTCCCCATATCTTTTCCATAGCCCCTATTTCCCCAGTTTCTGTCTGGGCCTTTACCAGTTTTCTTGCTGAGGCCTTGGGAGTGCTGATTCATGGCAGAATTACTTGTATCCAACACTTCTTTCACGTGTATCTGCATATAACACTTGGTTTGTAGACGTGTACTGTCGACTCCTACTCAGTTAGTCACCTGCTGTACCTCCCTCGACCTTCTCACCTTGCTGCCTGCCCTGGCTCGTCACTGCCCTGCCCACGTTGTCACAGCTCATGCCTCCTACTTCCAGTGAGGTGCACCCTGCTCCCTTCGTACTGCTCCTCCAATTTGCCCGGATCAAATGCCAACCATCACCTCTGAAATACTTGCAGTCCTCATTAGCTGGTATTTTTGGACCGTGCATTCTCCATCACAATATCCAGGTAGAGCAATTTAGCACTGTGTAGTCACAGAGGTGAAAATACCACCCTCTGCTTTTACCGAGCTCCTGTGGCTGGGTCCCTGGTGGGCCAGAGGCCTCTGAGAGACAACTGAATTAATAATACAGCTCGTTCCTCCTTGAGCTCATCTTAGCCTGGGGTCCTCCTAGTCCTTGTATGCCTGGTTGGATGGGAAAGCAAAGCAATGCATCCTGCAGTTTCTCCAGGCACAGAAGGGTGAAGGCTGGAACTAACACCAAACCTGAGCTCTGAAACAGCACCAAGTTTAAGAAGGTGTCACCTTTCAGAGGAAGAAGTGCACATCAGCTTGATGCTGCTCAAAAGATCTAAGACAGAAGATCCAAAACTTTGTGAAAGAACAGCCTTTATGTCAGGGACAGGCTTGATCCGTGAATAAACAAGCTCAACACAGAGACCAGCCTGCCTGACTCTCCAGTAGAAAATATATCGCTCTGTGTTTTCCCAAAGAGACATATTTCAGGTGAATAAGCACAAAGAAATACAAATGGTCTTTGGCTTTAGCAGCTGGTCAGTGTTAACCCTGTCATTGCTCTGCACAGGGTGGAACGGCCGCGCTGAGAGTACGCTTGTTGTCATGCTCACGGTGAGTTGCAGGCACACATAGAATAAAACTGCAAGGAAGGAAATCACAGGATTCTGCTCTGGAAAAGGAGACAGCCCATGACTGAGATGGAGTCCCCTCGTTAGAGGAGCGGTTCATTACAAGAACTCTGAGACCCATGCTCTTCCCTGGCTACATAATAGGCTTCGCCTTTAGAAGGAGCCTCTCTGCAGACAGCTGAGGTGTGCAGGGACAGTTTGTTTCTGTTTTTTGCAACTGCTTTCACTACAGAGAGCGGATTTCAGTATTCAGAATGCTTCTCTAGCATTTAGTTCACTTAGCATCAGTAACAGTTGAAAGAAGCAGAACAACCTCGTTGTCAAAGATGGCCTGTTGCTGAACAGGAGGGCTGGGTCTGCTCCCCGTGCAAGCAGCAACACTAAAATAAGTTCCCAGCAGATGGCACAAGTGCTTGAGCTGCTTCAACTGCTGCTCTCAACAGCAAGGTACCTGCCCTCAGGTGTTCGACTTCTTGCACAAGAAAAGTGAGCCTGAGATTTGTAACAAAATACCGTATTTAAATTGATAAACTTTCAGTCAGAAATAAAATCCTGATGAGTTACTCAATTTTTGCAATTTTTTTTTTCGGTCGTTTTTCTTGAAAGCAATAGGTCTCAGATGATGTGGATACCAGAAGCAGACGGTTGATGGCACTGCATGATCACTGTCCCTGCAATGGAGATCTCTCCGGCTACCCAGCAGTCTTTCTCTGAATGAAAACGGAAGGTGTTACACTTTCAAGCTGTAGCAAGAGCACTCACAAAATGTAATCGTTACCTACTAAGTATATTTTATTTCTTGATTCTTCTGTTGCTCATTTTCTCTATCTTCTGCTCTATGTATGAGAGTTGTCGACAGCCTGGACGTTCCGTTCTGGTTGTTCTAGAGCTGGATCTCACAGATCACTAAATATTGTATTAGGTGTTGGATCCCAAATGGGATTAGCATAGTGGTTTATGACAGCGATCACAGCTGCCCTGCTGGAACTGACGGCTGGGATGTCCAGCAGAAGTCTGGTTGGTATATTAAAATGTTATTGTGTGTCAGTGCTGGTTGTGGTGCTGCTTTGAATTGTACATGGTGGAGATGAGGAGGCTTGTAAGGAAGCAACATGGGACACAAAAAGGGAAAACAATCAGTATTTTTAAAATTAATATTTCTGCAACAGGAAATTTGAAAAGCCCCAAGGGAAGAATTTCTACATTTCATGTCTGTCTTGTATTTTCTCTGTACATAAGCTGCTTGTGACATTACAGACAGCTGTGAGGAAGTTAAAACTAGAACTATGTAAGTTAGAATTAAATTCACAACCAAGCTGGGATCAGGGATAAATGTCTTGTATAGGATAGAATTAGTATTAGCATTATTGTTAACTTTAATTAAAGCAACATTTAAAGCAAAGAGCAGCACGTTTTTCCTCCTGGTCCCTGCCAGCTAAATGCTAGACTAAATAATACTTTGTTTGGGCAACTTTCAGTTCTTCCTTCTGTCCAAGGAATGCAAGTGGTTTAGTACAGCCTTTCTATTAAATGCAATTTGGACTGAAGTCAAATGGCAATTTTAATTTGAAGGTGTTTACAGGTCTGAAGGTGACTTTAGGGAACACAGTTAAGAGCATAATTGCAAAGCAACAAAGCAACATATAAGAAGTAACTGTGGGAGCATGAAAATATAAATGACCTAAATAGTATAAAATAGTATGATGGGAAATATGGGCAGAGCAAATGTCTTGGATGGGATAGGAATTCAGCTCCAGGAATGCAATTTTGGCAGTAGTGTCCCAAACAGAGAATGCTATTTCTGGGGAAATGGACTGCACTCCAGGTCATGAATTAAACTCAGGTAATTTATGTTCAGCTTGTAAATAGTGCCAGTGCAAAAACCAAGCAGAAATGGAACAGAATATATTGCTGTAAATTTTGTAGCCATTGAGACCTGTAGAGTTGTCATGTACACTTGAGGCCAGGTAATGCCTAAAAAAATTCAAGCCAAGGAACACGTAGCAAGCCCTTCAAAGCTGCCAACTCAGTGACCTTAAGGAAACCCAGTTTCAAAGCAGCATGTTAAGAGAGCTTTGAAGATGTAGCTTCCCAAACCCTGATCTTTATTTATTAGCTGTCTCCGACAAGTACTAAAGAAAGGTAATTTTCTTGATATTTTGAAATTGCGTGGCAAGCGTTCATTTTATAGGAAACTCTGATCTTTAGGAAATACCAATACTATTCCATTTCCCGATTTCTCATTCTTTTGCTCTCTTGGTATTTCATACCAGTCTGCTGTGCAGATCTTCCAAGCCAGTGTCAGCTCCAAGGCTTGGCTGCCTGGGGCTCGCAGAGCTCCAGCTTTTTCACAACCAGCTATCTTCCAGGTGCCTTTGAAGTGTGATTTCTGGTAGAAAAGTATCTACAGAAGAAATATACCTCCATGTTGCAATCAGAGTTAGGTCAGTTAAGATTTTGATAATGTTTCAGGCCTCAGCGGGGGCAGGTTCTTCATGGGGAAATGCAGACAAAGGAGAAGGATGGATCCCTTTGGGGTTTGGTGAGATCAACTTAGACAAGTCTGGGCCCCTTATAGCAAATATGGGAGAAGCCTCTCCCTAATACACAGAGTGGTGGAACTCCTTCTTTGGTATAAAGCCTTGGGGAGCCAGGCATGATGTTTTCTCTGAGTGTCTCTGGGGAAAGGCAGCTCCTCTCACAGCAGTATGTATC